TAGCCGTGGCGATTATTACTTTATTGGGGGAGTGCAAGTTTGCGATCCTAGAAACTACTAGACTTTTTATACAAAACCTTGGCGATTATGTGGGTTACTTGGCACGGTGCATGGTATACTAAAAGGTGTTGATTTAAATCGTCGTGATGATGAGTTTTTGGGTTCAAACCACATTCAAGCATACATAAACTTGAGACACGTTAATATTTTTATTTGAAATTTTAACTTATGCGTAACAAGGCTTTGGCACATTTTTATCAATGTTGCACCATAAAAATGTGGTGGTGTTAATCGCTAAAAATTTGTAGTCAGAATGTCGGTTGTGTGGGATAGGCATCCCACGTACATAACGTAATATCGTATTATAGTTGTCCCTGTTAAATAATGTTAGCGCCCCTTCTTTGACCCCCCGATAAGGATAAGGGTCACCGTTTGAGCGAGACAAAAATTTTGAATCACTAATGGTGTCGCGCTGTCGATGAAATTGGAGCCGAATTTGATTTTCAGGACTGCACAGGCCGTGGCCCCTTTCCGAAGGGCTGATCTTCTCGTTCCCACACCGCTGTGCACAATAGCCCTGACCTGTTCCTTAAACGTCATTGTCGATACATTGTTGACCCAGGAGGCCAAGGTGATAACGAAAATGTTGTTCACGAATACATTCAGCCAGACAAGGGGGAAAATCAGGAAGGACGGCATCGGAATTTCGTCATGCATCATGAGGGACACATATTGCGTAAGGATCTGTAAGGTAGGCAACAACAACATGTAGACGGGAATGAGGTAAACCATGAGAAATCCGTTGAACATTTTTTCCAGAATTTGAATATTTCGATACACCTTGGTACAAGTTTCAAACTCGGCGGATCCTTGAGCTTCTTGAATATCACTGACCAAAAAAGAATTTGTTTTCAGCAGTACAATTTTTCATTTATTCTACAATACAGTTTAGCATTAGATTTACCCCCTAATCACAGCAAAATAGTTCAGCATGCTCACAATTCCGACGAAAAGGATGTAGATGATTTCCAATGTACCGCCGGGTAAGACATGGAAAGCCATCCACGTGTCTAGGAGGAAAGTAAGATGCTGGGCACCTAAGGCACTCGTCCAAGTTATTGACCCGCAATCGTCCCGCACTGAGAGCAGAAATGGGGGTAAGCAAGGATCCAAGAGGATTAGTCCAATAATCGCAAAAGCTGTCGCAATAACACTGAAGAAGGTGACTTGGAGAAACAATTTCATCAGTTTTGACTCCAAGTTTTCATTCAGGGAGCGTTTTCCTATTAAAAAATTCATACAAATTGTACATCATCGTGCGATTAAAGTTTGTAGTAGCGTGTGTAGCATTATAATTAATTTTACTGATGCGCTGTCTCCTTAATCTTATTCCGGAGAAATACATGAAAACTGCTACATATTACACCTGTTACTAGATAAATATTAATCCAGCGTAACAAGTAATTGGTTATACTTACGTAGATACTCACCTGCAACCAATTTTTTTTCAAAATCCATACACGAATTTATTATCTGCGCAACGGCAACATCCTTGCCGTAATCCCATCGTGCACATAAAAGTACAAAGTAGATGCAAAAGAAAGCGAAACCCTGTAACCTTTTGGCCCGTGGTAAATCTGTCAAGATAAGATGAGCTAGCGTGAGAATGCAATACGCCAGATGGGAAACGGTTTGCAGACGAAATGTCCGTATCTTAGCGGAATTCTTGGTCATGACAAGGTTTCCAGATTTGTGGTCAAAATCGAACAGAATGGAGTTCAGTCTTTGGCATATTTTTAAATGACGCAGTAGAAAGGGAAGAAAGTGGGTTGTGTACATTTTGTTGACGAAGCGGATTTTGGAATAATCAAAAAAGATTAAATGCAATACAATGTTTTAACGCTATTTAGAATATAACCACAAAAATTATACTGCTAGCTCTATGGCTTCATTTGATCAAGACTGAGGGCTAAGTATAAATACCTCCAAAATGTAGCAGTTCCATGGCGTTGCTAGCACTTTCAGTGAGAATTTTACCGTACTGGTCTTAAATAATATAAATAAATAACGCGAGGAATAAATTTTAGCGCGTGTTTATTATCGCTAAACAAGACACATATTTGATTGCTATGAGAGAAAATAGTAATAATTAGGGTTGCCGCGGGTAACGGGTCGGGTACCCGTTACCCGCATACCCGCACGATTCTTGCGGGTACCCGTTACCTGCGGGTAGTGAGAACTACCCGCACGGGTAACGGGTAGTTCAGTTTTTATTTAATTTTCTACATAAATCAGTTCACAAAGAAAGTTCGCAGCAAGTTAGTCCATTTACCAACAGTAGCGTCAATTTATTATTTTTCCATTTCAAAATTTGTCATTTGCCAGCAAAAAGCGTTTATAGCTAGCGTCACGTTTCGGAAGCCACACAAGCCTATGTCAGCCTCAAATACTTTTCACGTCCAGAAAATGGTCAATTATTGTTTCTCAAGCATAGTTTGCCTGCCCTAAAATACAAGTAATAATTTGACTTGTATTTGTGTGTCTTTAGGGGTAAGTACATAAGGACGTCAGTCTTATAAGACTGACCACGTTTTAATTTGTGCTCTGAAGATGAAAAGCCTGAATCCGATTGAAAGCAAAAAATTATTTGCAGACAATTTTTTTGAATGAAAACTTCATCTAAATTAAAATTTGAAAAAATCAAACTCACAACTCAACCTTTTTCAGGCTATACCAAGATTGCTCAACGAATATCAAAAAGTCAGGCAAAAAATTAGGAATCGCGTGATACTCATCTTTCTGTTGAATGGCCCCTTCGAAGACAAATATTAGCGGCAAAGTTCAATTTTTCTGTAAATGTTCTGTGTCTTTTTCCTCCACTGGACGAAAACCATGGTGGACTTTGAACTCTGCCCCAGCAATGGTTTCCTCTAAATGGGCCATTCAACGGAAAAATAAGTGTCATGTAATTCATATTTTGTGACTTAATTTTTTGACATATGTTCATAAATCGCTAAGAAATACCGGTATAACTTGAAAAACGATCCAATATAAGCCAAAAAGTTTGGTTTCGGAAATAACGTAAGACATCTACGAGCAAATTATGGCATGCGTTACTTGCATAGCATTATCTCAAAGTACATATAAACCAAAATGAAGAAATAATTGATCAAATCAAATTTATTCTGAAGCTTGGTTAGTTTTTAACTTAATTCTCATAACGGGTAGCGGGTAGCGGGTACCCGCACGGGTAGTTCTGCTGCGGGTAGCGGGTCGGGTAACGGGTAGCATTTTCGCTACCCGCGGCAACCCTAGTAATAATTATGTATTGTTTAATTATCTCAAATTCTCCCTTTGGAACATTACAGACTTGTACAATATAGACACCCCAGCTTAGACTCACAGATTTTGACCAGATTGGTCTCATTCGATCACAAAGTTAATTAGTATGAACTTTTCAAAATGCATCATCTGTCCATAGTCAAAATTTGGCGAAGATACGTCCATCCTAAAAGTGAACTAGACTTTAAAAACTTTTAAAAAGTAATATTTCCATTTGATCCAAGCTTTCCAAGATTCTTACAACTAACATTATCTTCATGAGGGTCTCAAACATAAATTATTTTTATGCCCGAACACCACTTCAAAACTTTTAACTGACTATTAATTACGATAAGTTTCCCTAGAAAATTTATAAAGATTTTATGAGGGGAACAGCAACTGGTGACCAGAATATATTATTATTCCATCCTGAATGTTCACGGATTGGATTTTTCTTCAAACACTTTATCTGTAAATACTGCATCTGTAATTTCTCTACGATATCTTTTAAATGTATTTCCTCCTATTTGTAAATATCTCCAACCAAACACGATCTGAAAGTTTCATGTTAATTAAAATTTTAATCAAGACACGACTTTCGTCAAAATCGGAGAGCATTCACTGGAATACCTGCATTGTTATGGTTCACATACATATTATGTTTTCCATTATTACGATAGCTACTAAAGCTAATTAATTTCAGGTACATATTTTACTTATCGTGGTACAGAAATTGACATTTACGGCGGATAACTAATTCATCCTTTATTCATGACCGAGGTTACAAATTTTAAAGGGTAAATTAAATATCAAATGTATTTGTGTAGCAGAGCTATGTAAAGTAGGAGAATTATTTATTCATATGAGCTGATACTCTATTACACTCTTTAAAGAACTGTCACCCCTTTGCGGAGTACATATTTATATATATCAATTTTAATTAAGTAAACTATGTAAATAAATATGCACAATCTCATGAATCCGGTGTCAAAATGGTACCAAGCGGTATTCATACGAGTATTTACATGACTCTTTATGGCTCTATGCATCAACATAGAATTAATAAGTAATAGTACTGTGTCGCAGTTGCTCGGTATTAAAATTTGACCATACCGATAGCGAATTTTTACATACCGGTATGAGGTTAATACCAAGCAGTAACAATTTTAATACCGAGAAGTCAATATCTGCATGGCAATACTAGATTTCCGGATTAGAGACAGATGATTAATAAATATTCAGTAAATAAATTTCTATACAATTTTGGTTGCATTAACTTTTCAAAAAGCTAACATTATTTTTAAGGGTGTACATACATATAACCGATATTTAAATTTATTGCTTGTGTTATGGAATTAATCAAATTTCACTGATGTCCGTCGTTGTGATTAATTTATGCTACACGCATTTGTGCACATATGTACACCGAGAAATGACTCGTGAGAAATTGAAGAAGCTTGGACTACATACATACATGTCACCAATTTCCTCATTAAAATAAAGTAAAGATTGGCTGAATTCGTTAATGGTTTTAATTGTGGGATTAAATTGTTTTTTAAGAATTTGATGATTTCTGCAACATTGCTGCTCATAAAATTTGAACGTATTTATGTATGTATGCGAAAAAACAGCATTTATATCCTTTCCCCTGCCCAATTACTTATTTATATCAAAACAACTTAATAAATATTTTGAATTTATTCATTCTAAAAAGAAAATTACTCCAAAGTATTTAATAAAAATTATCAGTGACAGTTTATGCGAAACAAATGTATGTAAATATTTAGTCAGCTTATTCTTAACCATTAGGTCTGTCCTGAATTTGCCAAAATCCAATCGACAAAATGTGCGACTTCCGTATTAACTCCCGGCCTACCCGGTAGTGCACAACCATACCCCCAACTCACCAACCCGGCCAGATATCCACCCTCCACAGAAACTAGGGGTCCACCCGAATCGCCCTGACACGAATCTCGCCCCCCTTCCGGAAATCCGGCACAGAGCATGGATTCCTCCACGATTTCTTCCGGATACATGACTTGACACGTGGTATCATTGATAACCGGAAGTTGGACGAATTGCAAAATATTGGCGAGCTGTATACTTCCTTCAACGGTGACGCCCCAACCGGAAACGGTGATGAGGCCGGTCGTCTCCTGCCCTTGGACTGGGAGAGGGATGGGAGACACAAAATCGTCAAAAATGAAGGGACGCGCGACTTCGAGGTGGAGGAGGGCGATGTCGTTGGCGTAAGTGGAGTCATCATAGGATTCATGGACCGTGATTCGCTCCACGTTTCGGGCCTGCTCGTGACTTCCGGTTATGAGACGGTGGAGCTTTCCTGCGATGACGCGTAGATTGGAGGGGGCTCCGCCGTCGACGCAGTGGGCTGATGGGCAAAAAATGGGTATGAAAAATTTGTTGAAGACTTTAATTGCCAAATTATTCGAGTTCCTTATAGTTTTAAAGTATGTGGGACTCAACAACTCATCTCGGCAGAATTAACACATTTTTCATTATTCTTCTTCTCTGGGAACATATCTATTTTAAAATTCAGGACGACCAACTTTTACCTCTGATCGGTGACGATTATAAAAATATGCAAGCTAAAATTAGTCTATTTTTGAAATAGATTACAAGTTGAAGGAGCCTTCAGAAAAATTCGGACTGGTCGAAACCGGCTTCAAAAAACTCGTCGTCCAGAATTTTAAAATAAACTCGAAGAACGTAATGATTAAAAATGTCTTAATTTTGACCAGTTTGGTAAAGATTTATTGATTCCAATGTACAGAAATCTAGGAACTTTAAGTCGTAAAAGTTTTTGGAAGATGTAAAAACATGGTTGAAGTGTAAAATTATACATTTGCATTATTTGTTACCTGCAGTAACTGCGATATTCTGGTTAATTATGGATGCCCCACAGACATGCGACCCGTACCGAATTAGTGTCAGTTGATAAGGGAATTGACCCTCGATCGCGTCCTCACCACCGATTATTCTCCCTCCGCCAGGAACTCGGCGAGAAGTTCGAGGCAGGCCTGAAATTATAACTTTTTAAAGATGTTAAATTTTCTCATTTTCTAGATTAACACCTATTTTTGGTATGTAAATAATTTTCATTAAGATTTTGATTTTAAACAGACTGCTGTCAATAATATGTTTCAACACAGTAGGGATATTCATTACATATTCGGATAGGACCGTAATTTTGAAAAAATATATGAACCAAAGTCTAGCCAAGTTCGCAATAAAAATCCAGTTATTTAAATTTTTTCTGAACTTCCCAACTTGTTTTCTATAACGTTACTATAACCATGCAAAGTCATAAACAATACCCCCAGTATTTTGTAAACTTACAAGTAACCCAGGTAACAAGGAGGAGGACGAAAAGAATTGTGCTTTTGGTCATTATGCTGGATTTTTATTAAATTACAAAATCAGGACAGGTAAATTATAAAGTGTTTAATTGAACTGAGTTATCTTTATTGAAGTAAATGTAAATTATTTTCTGCCCATTGGCGAATTAAAGTATGAACATTATTATATCTTATCATTACAGTGACTCTCTTGACATACTTATAAGTGCATTTTATCCTGATTGATTAACACATTGTTAACTACATATGTACATACATACATACTGTGAAAAGAGGTCAGAGTGAGTGAGTGACTACATATTCCTTTGTATTCAGAAATTTTAGTTTTGACGAAAAGTGGTCCAAATTTGGTCATATTTACCTGTATTACTCGAAATAATTTTTAGAAATGAGTATTTCGCGACTGTGTCAGATTTAGAATCTAGTTTAGCAAATTTGCAAATTTTTCAACGTATTTTAGTATGACAATGACAAGCCTTATGTACAAAAATTTTATGTAACAAATTCGTATAAGAAATTTTCAAACTTTTTACATACATATGTACATGTTCCAAATGCCTACGCAAGTATTTGAATAATTAACAAATACAAAAATATGTATGTTAAGGCATGAGAAACTGATAGATTTAATTCAGAAATTTGAAATTTATGGGAAATATTGCCTACAAAATATCTGAAATGGCTGCAAAAAAAATTTAGTGAACGTCAACCGTGCAAGCTGATCTGAGGATGAGCATTAGTTGCTTCGTAATCTTGTAATAAAGATGAGAAGGACTTCCGTAGTTTACACACTTTACATCATCGCTGACATTGTTCACGCAAGCTTCATAAAGACTGAACCTTTTGTAAAATTAGTATACCCTGTGCAAAACACCGTTTGGAAATTATAATTACGCCACGTGGACGTACTCTATCTGCGTTAGGTTTGCAGCCTGATATCCTTTAGAAATTTTGTTACTTGGATTTTATCCAGTTTTTTTACGAAGTTACTAAGAATGGTGTGAATTGAATGAATATTTATTTCATGACCAAATCCAGAGGTCCTTTTTACATGCAAGTTATGTATTTATCACAAACATTTTGAAACAGTTATCTATATTTACCACAAATTTTGTAATTTGCTGCAAAAATGTAACGAATAAATTCCTTGGGAGCAAAAAAACGTGTACATTTTCCAGTATTTATGAGTTTGCATATTACCATGATTTATTTAGAAACGTAAAAAATTACGTTCAAAAATTTGAAAAAATTACTGGAATAAATTCCCACGGTGGATAAAACATATGTATCCAGATAGCGATACATACATTAAACATGTAATCAGGACGGACATCTTGTAAAAAATGATACTTTCCGTTGCAGCTTAACTTTTCCTCGTATGAATGTTCGTTGCATTTTTTCAGTCGAAATTTCTCTCCATTGTTTTCTCCCCAACGAGCCTGCGGGACCGTGCATAAAGAATGTCATCAACATACGAAATGACTAATTTCAAGAAATCTGCACACGCCACGTGCTATGGTGGGACACAAATGTAGGTCATTCTTGTGGAAATTCTTGCAAAAATCGATCCCATTCTTTACGTGGGGTCCCCCCTATTCAGGACCAGAGTCAACCCTTTCATTAAGGATTTGTATCATACGAGATCATCATCGACCGTTAATTTCCTATCCAAGGCTAGCAAAAAACTGGATCCCACTCCACCCTTCCCGTCGCCAGAAATTGGGGAGAAATATTACGTAGGTAAGCTCCTGCCTGCCTGATTTTGTTGTCAGGTGAATAGGCACTCAATGTGCGTGGCGTGGCTTGTACGCACTAAAAAATCTGGGGTAACACTTTGTTATCGAGTACATATGTATCACACTACAAATTTGCCTCATATTTCTTGTGTACATTGTAAAAATACGATAGTGGTAATATTTTGTTACCGAGTTTGCCTTGTAATTGGCGTATTTATATATTATGAACAATGTAACTAATTCTGCATAAAACATGCTACTACCAAGCTGGCAATTGTTTGTGTTCACTTTGGTCTTAATATTGACTAACATCAATCACAGAGTTGACTAAATAATAAGCAATTTCTCATATTATTCCGCACTCTATTATGAACGCATTCATTGTCACCGATCGGTAATAAGTAACGTCTCATGCACTAGATTACTACATAAATCATCTGTTATACCCCAAATTTGTGCGTACAACTAATTACCCATCTCTTATTTAGTGTGTTCCTCGGATAACAACACGCGTAGCTTACTTTCTTTCTCCTCGTTCCCATGGCAACCATCCCAACCAACGAACAAACATACCATGGTTATTATACTCACTCATACACAAAGCAACGTTCCCTGAATATCCCATAGCGTTGTTGGAGTAAAACGTGCGTCGCAGATTCAAATACGCACTCTCGACCCCTTTTTCATTTTCATGCACGTAATCATGCCCACGCTATGTATTTCTATTCGTACCTACGCGTAGCCGTTGAGGGGAAAATGGTGCATAGCGTCCCCCACTGAAAATCCGCTCTTCCCTGTGTTATCCCTCGTATGGCGAGGCAATACGAAGGAAGAGCGTGGCTCGTATATCATCCCATGTAAAAAGTGGGACCCGAACGACGTCGTAGTTCGCTTCGCCTCCTGCCCTACTCTATATGCCGTTTGGATCCACTTACTTCCTCCCCGTGAGCGCATAGCAACAAGATTGAGCATCAGCAGCCAGCAGCACCACCCACCCTCCCTCCTGCGTCTCCCTTGCTTGCGTCCCATTTTCCCTCCAACACCAACTGCCAAGCTGTCAGTCGACAACAAAACATAGAAATAAACAAACCTTGGAAAAGGAAAGAGGGCCAGATTTTTGGGAAACTTTGAGCAAGTTGGAAAAGAGGAGGTAAAAAAGAGGTAAGGAAATGAGAAGGAAAGGGTGAAATGGGGGAGGTTTTGGGGGAAATTTGAGGGGGGATGGGATTTTTGAAGAGTTTTTGAAAGGAATGGGTAGATTTTCTTTGTCTTTCTGGGAGAAAGTTGGGGAGGGAAGGGAATTTTGGTTTGGGAGAGGTATTTGGGGTAGGATTTTTGGAAATATTTTTGGAATCGAGTTTTGCTAAGTAATTTGTATTTTGGGGGGATTTATTTGGGGAAATTTGGTGCAGAATTTTGAGTTTTTCAGGAATTTTCTGACCAAGTTTAAGCACTGACTTTTTTAATAGGATTTTGGGTAGAAAATAGCCTTTTCACGAATTTCTGTACTCAAAATTAGTAGGTTTTGTACCAAAGTGTACGGTTCTGAACTTCAATTTATATTTTTTGTACTAAAACTGCAATTTTTTAGGGGAATTGAAACGTATTGAAATTGCGTTTTTCGTCAGCTTTTTGACTAAGTTAACATAGACAAAAACCATTTTGGAATAGGCTTTTATAAAAAAAAATAGCATTTTCAAAAATGTTTGTACCAAAATTTGAATTCTTTGTACTAACTTTTTGTCTGTTTTTTTTGCAGAAATGGCGAAAGCAAAGGCCGCAGGAGCAAGCCCTGCGAAGGCGAAACCCGCCAAGGTGAAGAAGCCCAAGGGGAAGGCGAAGGCGAAAAAGCCCAAGGCCAAGGTCGCCAAGAAGGCGAAATCCCCCAAAGCACCGAAACCAAAGACCACCAAGAAAGCAGCGTCTTAAAATGGAGGGAATGCAGCCCAGATAAAAATTTTATGCACACTCTTAAGTAATTAATTCCATAAGTACAAATTTCAGAATACCAGTTGATTGTTGAGTTTTCCAAAATTAGATTTTTGAAATTACATAGTATGTAGAAAAAATTTTATTCATGTTCGAGTGTCGCTGGAATGTTGATTAGATATCTTTCGAGTAATAATTAGCATGTAAGAAGTGTTAACCTAATTGTAAGGATTTTTAAGATTGTGTTGAAAATTTGAAATCAAAATTGAAAGCTTTATTATGACTTAGATTGTATTTAAGAGAAACTTTGGATTTTTTATTTGTGCAAAATTTGCGTAGAATTTGATCATTATTTGCTGAATTTGCAATGTATTTGGAGAGAATTGGAATGTTAAAGATTATTCATTAATTGGAAAGTTTTTAAAGTATGGAAAAATTCAAATTGTGAATCAATTATGTTTCAATTCGGAAGAAATTGGCGTGTTTAAATTTATAAATAAATTCCTTGTTTAGAAAATCACAACTTTTTGTAAGTTAATCAATTTATTTACTTTCCTTGTGTGGATATTTACACACTTAAACTTTGTCATTATGTACATTAGTTCGTTGCATTGTAAACGCATACATATGAATTTTGTACATGGACGCATGTGTGTACATACGCATTTTTACGTGCATACTATACATATACATAAAAAACATAATTACTGGTTTAAAAAATACTTTTTACGTATGTTTTCTTTTGGATTATTTAATCTGCACAGGAATTAAGGATTAGTAACTAACTATTCAGATTGTAATCGATTCTTGATTAAGATCTGGCCAAAATTCGCCCGGATGATTTTTTTAGAAAAATGATGGCCTAAATGATGGCTATTCGAATATTTTGGATTATGTATCAAAAAATTATATATCTGGTTGTAATTGCTCGAAGAGAATCTTAAGGCCCACTCTCAGTTTCCGGTTATATATATAGATACATACATATATATAATCATAAACAATGTTAATTCGCATAATCGTTAACCATGATGAAAGTTTTAATTTCGGTTTTTTATTTGTGTGGCTTAATTACAAATTCATGATTTGAAAATGCATTGAATTGCATAAAATTTTACACATGCAAGGATTATTAGCTTCTTAAGTTTTTCTGGATCTGTTTTGGTTTGAATATTTGATTATTTTCACCGTTTGTGTGCGTATGCATTATGCAATTGGAGGAAAAATTATTTTATCCATCACCGTTTTTCATAAACAAAATTAAATATTTTGTCTTGTTCATAAACTTGGGAGGCATAATTGCGTGAAAATACAATCCATGAAACTATGCATAACTATTGTAGGTTCAGTGTAATTAACTTAGGTTAAATCCCGTTAATCTTACAAATTTTTGTGGCTTAATTTCCCTATACGTCAAGTACGTATAATTTCGTTGCTGCACATTAATTATTAACCCGATAAATATTTCTACAAAACTCGGAACTATATATAATCTAAAAAATCGCTACAAAGGTTAAAACAATTTAAAAACAATAAACATATTTTTTCATGGAGGAAGTGTACCCACAACTGAATCTTCTACATATGTACACTACCAATGCGTTACCCTTCATGAGGGACCATGCATAAAGGTTGTGATTGATATCAATTTCTACCCAACGAGCTTTGACGTGCTATCAAGAAGATGGACAGGGTCTGATACAGTGAAAACTAAAAAAAACTAGTCGGTATACTTAATTCATGGCCCTATGTACATGCGAGAGAACATGTACGTAATGTATTATGTACCACGACAACGTGAAACTAGTGTATATTGCATGACTGCAACCTCAATCTTTCCCATGTTGCTCTTTACTACTTTACTCAAGCACGTCTGTTATATGAAATTATGTGTATTAAATAGTTGTACTACGATTGCATACATACATATGTACATAGATAGGTTAGAGCAGGTTAGTTGTAAGTGAACAAATGCAGAAAATCTGTGAAAAGATCACTTTCAGTTCCAGGAATCACAAAACCTTCTTCAGAAACATTCCTATTTTAAAAGCAACTTGGCCCTACGTTAATCATACTCATATCTAGCATGTAATAGTGCATGTTTCTGTATTTTTCACCACAGAAAACTTATCTGGTTTCTTCCCCAATTTTATTCTTCAACTTGTTACATGTTAAAAATTTGGTATAAAAAGACGTCCAAAACGGGAAAAGAGCCAGTTGTTGGAGAGCTTTTGCATTCAAAACTCCTTTCCTCTGGCGTGCTTATCCGCCAGCCCCCTCGGCTAAATCGGAGAGGACTTTCCTCCGAAATCGGATGTTTCTTATAATCCGACAATCTTTTTTACTGAATTCTTTCGACATATTAATTTATAATGTACTGCTTGTGAAAAGTTGGATATACACGATGCTTAAAACTTAATAAATGGACAATTGTTGCCAACACCTTGTTGGAGAGCATTGTCCTTCAAAATTACGTTCCTTTAGTGTGCTTATCAACCAAATCCCCTGCAAAATCGGATGTTCCTTGTAAATCTGACAATCTCTTTTTTTACTGAATTATTCGCACAATTGACAAAAATTGTTAACAGCATTTCTTTTGATAAGAAATTAAATCACGCTCGTGCAAATTGGCAATTGCACGATCTCTAAATTAGCATTTTTAGAATATTAAAATCCATATTTTTGTGGGTACATCTGCATAGTCGCCATGATTCCACAGCCCCTGGCGTACTTCATAATCAGACGTCGGATATGAATGAATGATAAAACCTCAAAATATGAATGAAAAATTACCGTAAAAATTCCCAAAATATGACCATAAAAATGACTTTATGTTTCAAATTCTTGGCTAAGTTTTGTGATACATTTTCTTGTAGTGCTCAATTTTTATCAATTAAACAAGTTCTGGGGTGATTTAATTCATTCCCTATGAATTAAATCACCTTAGACGAAAGTGAACGTAAATTTCTGAAAGTTTCTCATAATGAATCATTGTGAGAAAACTGCATTTTTTGTCATTTTCTGTCGATTTGTTGCCAAATCTTAGAATTTGGCCAAAAATGATGAAATGAACGAAAACCCCCGAAATATGATCGGGAATATGAATATGTCCCAAAACCGGAAAATATAACCAATATGAGAAAATATGCTTTGACCTACGTGACCTACTAGTGACCATAAACATTCTCAGAAAGTTTTGCGAATGTAGGTCAATAAATGGAAAAAGTCGTTTTTCATTCATATCCGACGTATGTTCATAATCACCAGATACGGAAATTCAGTACTTTTGTGCAAATAGATTTCCCACCAGAATAATACTAAAAAAACATTTCCTACATAGACATATTTATATATGATTTACTCACTTGGGGTGGATTTTTTTGAACTATGCTGATTTTTCCATACTATTTTTGCATAAATTTTACTAAATACATTTCGTCGACACTCATTTACATACTTAACCAGAGTTGCATAAATTCAAAGGTTTAGTTGTAATCATAATAAACAGTAACCCCTCAGCACATACACTTTTAGAAATACCGTAATGTTATGCAGAATTTTTGTTTTTGCGCAATGCACTTTATTTACGTAATCTGGAAAACTTAAAAGCAGATTTATAAAATATAAATCGCAAAATAGATGCTGCTAAAATATATAAAAAAAAGCATACCACGTGCAGTTTGTTGAACTTGAGAAGACTTTGATACGGGTATTATTTATTATCATATTTATGAAACTTCGTACATACATTCATACAAATAACTTGAATGAAATTACGCAAATAAAGCCATAAAATAAACCCAATGGTACCTTTGATGCGAATATGTATGAAAAGTACCTCACTCGTTCTGCTGGCCTTCCTCTTTCAGATTAACATATTTCTTGGTGTCGTCAATTTTGCGTGCATGCATGGAAATAAAAATGGTCATCTGGACGACTCTTGGGGATTCCCAGCTCAAACAAACAAGCTCTACTCGAACCGGATTTTCCAATCAAAAGTACCCCACTCCACTCATCGGGTTCCGAAGATGTCTATTCTTGCAAAGTGTAATTTTCATTTTTTACACCCTTAGAAATACAGAATGTAGGATTAACAAAGTAACAAGCCGTATAAATACTGCTTTAGGTGTATTGAAAAGTAATACCCCAGTTAAAATAGGTCAATGATTAAATGTTGGTAGTAAATTTTTACCTGTTTGTACATATACATATATCTAATACCAAGCGATGAAGGGTGTATGAAACGGAAAAATTAATACCTTATGACAGATTTCAAAAAGTACACACAAACTACTACCAAACGGTTAAGAAGTTATCGCCAAATCAATTCCAGTACTGCGTATATGTACACACATATGTCACTCTACCAGATTGTTAACAGAGTACATATGTATACGTGGGTGTTTTATTATTAATTTTCAAAAGGTATGTTCCGCACTGTTTCTGACCAAACTTTTGATGAAATAACAAACTTCAAATACTTTTAGGATGCTGTGATTTTTTTCAGTTCTGTTATATCCCAAAGTACGGGGTTAAATATTTTAAAGATTTCGGAAAAAGTGTTGTCAATTGTTGAGGAGATCGTTAACGGGACGGATTTCGAAACTTTAAATATATTAGATTTCGATTTTGACGGTGATATAGATGTATATTCTAATTTACACAGTGACTTGGTGTCCGGAAATGAGGATGATGAAGTTTTTGGTGTCGAGGAACTCGATTCTTCTGACGGCCTTTCGCAGCAAGTATCTCAGGAATGGGAAGAAGAGAGTGTGGACGGTGTTACTTTTACTTATCAAGAAATGGTGAACATTGTTAATTTCTACGAAAAGGCGAAGAAAAATAAATTCGACCAAACCAAGAGAAGGTTTAAAAAAAATCGACATTATAAGACGATCCAAAGAATTAAAAAATATGTTGACAAGACAAGCACTACATTTCCGCTTTTTAAAGAAGTAGAAAAGTTTGTCCTGGAACGTTTTGAAAGTGCACATTGTAATCTGCACTTGTGCTTCGACCACTTTTTTGTTCAACATCACTACCATCCACTCTCTACGATTGAAAATAATTCAGGCCCAGAATCAGAATAGCTACGGTAAGTTTTCCCAAATATTTCTAAAAGCGTATGGGTAGCGAAGAGTTAGCGAGCGCAGGTCGCACGGTCACGGTCTCAAGCACGGTCTTACGCTCGTCACAAATATCGTCACAAGATGACGAAAAGTGAATTTTACACGGAAATTCCTTCAGTTTGTTTAATAAGTCATGTATTGTGGTCATTTTGGTATAGGTGTATTTTGTAAGGCTACCAAAATATAATCTGCACAGCGTCTTAGATTGCAATCCCCATTTGCCAAGACGATATGTTGCATGTATGTATGTATTTCGGGTTAAAGTAGTAGATAATGTAGTACTTTTTTATATTAATTTGTATTGTACATCTGCATTCAAGTGAACTCCCCAAATCATCACAGGTGTAAATACATATAAAAATTGTACCTGATAAAGTATGCACAATGTTCTTCACAAGTATGTACCTTTGATGACACAAATTATACGTCATTTAAGAACTTACACATGCTCAAATCTGTAACCTAAATTAATTTACAGGCTCTAATTTTTAGTTTGTATGTACCAGATTAATACATAAATCATGTAATGTCTATTTGCATTGATTCATACTTTTATACTTCACTCCAGAATTTAAGTTTATTCGAAATTTATTGATTGGGATTTCCATACTATTCATTTAAATATATGTACATAGAAGCACACTCTACGTAATATGGAGATGCATAGGTTAAGTACATTAAATTTGTGACAATATATTAAAGGTGTCTCAGCGCATGCCGTAAGATTTTGACCAAATCATTGTTAATTGATGAAGAATTTGGTTAGTATGAAATTTCCAAAAGACCAATGGTCAAGTTTGGCAGAGATATTTCCATCCGAAGAGGAGAAAACGCACAGTAAGTTTGAGCAGTCTAAAAAATTTGTCAATTTCAAGGCCGATTTTCTCCTGTTTGGGTGTAAATGAATTTATCCGCCAAACCTGCGCGTTGGGAGATCGTGCCTGTAACGATTTGGTAAAACTAGCTATTTTGGACCACACTCTATCTGTAGCAATTTACATATGTACCATCACCCTGATTTACCATTTACATGTACCAATTTCACAGAGTAACTTTGTTTTATTGCTTGCTTCCTAAAAGTGGAAGTGTGCATTTATTAACCCGGTTTAAATTCGTTGGGTAAAATTAATATCACCATTCCTTGCACTATAAGTACATATGCACATATTTGTGTATATCTGCTAATTTTACTCCGACGAAACCCTGTAACTCATTGTTTGCTCTGCACATTTACATAACTAACTAATACAAAACCGTCACGAGGCCTACTCGTTGTCTGTCTGAGTGATGATAGTGCATACTTCTCCTGTACCTTAACCCTGTTATTTCCATTCTCTGCAAAAATTACGTAAGTACATGGTACGTGCACTCTTAGAAAACTGATGTTAAATCATTACCGTCCGACGGTACATATGTATGTATGTGTTGGACTCTAAACGGTAATAAAGATGATTACCGTTTAGCAGTGTTGAATCAGGCAAGAATTTACCAGACTCGACCAATCTACATCCTACCAATCCGGGAGGACGGTTTTACCAAATCAATACCAGTACATGTAACTACCAGATTTTTAACAGTGTACAAACAGGTACGCTGTTAAATGCGACAATCTATGTGCATAAGTATTAGAAAAGTTCTCACAGCGTACAAATCATGAAAATCTACTGGGGATCGTACAGATATTACGTCAACAGAAATAGTTTTGGGTTGCACATCCATCTCGTGTCAAGCTTAACACCAGCAGGATAACTAGTGAAGGGGTGAATGAGTCGCGTAGAAATCCGTGTTTTCTGATGACGTAATATATGAATGGTCCCCTACTCCTAATAAACACGACTTTGTTCATATACACAAAACTTCTTTGGCTAATCTGACAATAGTAATTTGCATGAAGGACAGAGAGCTTCTGTTGTGTCCTTAATTGTATCATGGTTTTTCCTTTCGTGCAAATTAATAATTTCTTAATTTTACGAAGATTTTGTTGTAAAGTGTAAAAAAATAACAAATTTAAAAATGGCTGTGGAAGTGAGAAACGGTTCGAAATCGTACTTCGAGGGGAAATTCATTCTCAGAAATTTCAACATGCACGTCGGCCGGGGAGAAATGTTAGTTATTTACACATTCATGCACATTAATTATGGTGCTTCAGTTAAGAATCGTATTAAATGTCAAGGGCACTTAAGTGTCTCCCAAGTTAATTATTCTCCTTCCGTTAGTTGTGCAAGACTAGTTACAAATATTTCCCACCTGAAAATAAATGCCTATTAAAGGACTATTAAACATATTGTAAAATGTGTGGCCTTCATTTTAACGACGTTTCCATGAATATTTTACGAACGAATTTAGTCGAATTATTTTGTAATTCAAATATTTTGATCCATTTACAGTTATGGACTGCTTGGAGCGAGTGGTTGCGGGTAAGTGAATTTTCTTGAAAATAGTTGCATGCTTACATAATCCCATATTAGAAATCATAATTATAGATTCGTAAATTTATAAAATATTCAACTGCCATAATTTATGATGTACTTTTTCTCTTATGATTTGGAAAATGTATTTTCTAGAAAGACGACTCTCATGTCGTGCATCGTCGGCCTTCGTCACCTGGACAGTGGCGACCTTACCGTCTTCGGTCGATCGAGGAATGGTCACCTCGGTCACTTGTGCGGATACATGCCACAGGTGCGTATGCATTTATATAAACATGTAAATAAGCATACACTCTTACATAAAAGTAATGTTACACTTTGAATTTTGATATTAAGTAAACTATGCTAAATTAAGAGTAACGTTAAACTTGTAAATAGTAAAATTAATTCGAAATTTAGTATAGAATTGAGAGTTCATGTAGGTTTCAAAAAGTTAATGTCATTTTTAAGTGTGTATGGCTAATTATTTGTAAACACGTAACACTATTGCATTTTAAGGCATCATAACTTTAGAGATTTCACACAATTAAAGTAAATAATGTACCAAATTCCGTAGGTAAATTGGATTCCAATCTACACATTAGAAATTCCCACCTATTAAAAGTTTTTTTAATTGTTTTGTTAATTAGCTTGAATAATTAAATAGGCAGTTTATCTATACGGTTAAATACATTGAGGAAAATTCTCACCCTATTTTTTCAGGATATTTCTCTCCTCAGCGTGCTCACGATTGGGGAAGTGCTGCACCATTTTGGTTTGATTTATGGCATGTCAGAGGTCGCGATAGAAAATAAAGTCAATTTCCTCACCAACTTTCTTGATTTGCCGGATACTTCGAGACAAATTCAGTATTTGAGGTGAAAAAAATATTTTAGCCATTATTTGTGCGGGAAATTTCAAAGCTGCGAAATTTAAATTAATTTGCAGCGGGGGTCAAAAACGGCGGGTATCTTTGGCCGCTTGTATGATTCACAATCCCAACCTGCTTGTCCTTGATGGTAATAATTTGAGCCTCATTGAGATAATTGAGATTAGGATGATGAAAATTATTGTCTCATTTCTAGAGCCCACCGTAGGCCTGGACCCATTATTAAGACAAAGGTATGCATTATGAACATTATAAAATTCTTTCAAAATTTAAAGAAATTAGATTATTGACACATAATTCCATCTTGATTATATTCTCCAAACTTGACACCGTTTTCGCCAATGGAAATCTTGTGCTAAATATGGCGTTGAATGCATGATTTTATTCTTCTAATGGGATATTTTTGACGAATTGTTTTCAACAAAAGGGTTATACTTAAAATTCTAATTCGGAAAAAATAAGTTGGAACTATCAACGAAATAGGGGATGCATTAAATTTAATACTCTTTGGAACCATTATATTTTAACAATATGGTTTTCCCCAAACTTAGGAATGACACAGCCTTTATATTTTTAATTTGTATGGATGTGCTTGTAATTAAACCAACTTAACGTTTTGTAATTACAGAATATGGCAACATTTATTCGAAATATCCCGCAGTGGAACGACCATCATACTATCCACACATTACGTTGAAGAGTCTAAACGCTGCGATAAGGTGGGTCAACTTCAATTAAATATAACATGGTTGTCATTCAATGAACTATGCTTATCGAACAGGTTGGTTTCATGCGGGGCGGGAAACTATTAGCGGAGGATGCCCCCGCCGCCCTGCTTTCCCGGTACGACGCACCCACCTTAGAAGACGTCTCCCTCCACTTGGCCCGCTTGGATGACGAAAACCCCCAAACCTACGCCCCACCCGACATTGTGAACACGAAATGGCTCGATTTTACGCTAGGTGACGAAGAATCTGGCGTCGTGAGGGCGAAAGTGTATCGTAAACTGTCCATCAGTCTGCACGACAACGTGGTCCATTCTCCCGTCAATGTGGAAACGGATCATGCCTCCATCATTTACGCGTTAGCCTTAAAGGCGTGGCGAAGGAGAAAGAGAGACTGGAGGTGGGTGATTTTTAAAGCGACAAATTTAAGTATTTTTATACCCTGCGACAAATATCGAGAAATTTAATACGCCTCTTATTTAACTGAAAGCTGCCACTTATTTTAGCCTAATTCAAATTTGACTTGCTATTCTTGGGGGTGCTTATAATTTTCAAATTGCTCATATATTTAAATATTTAAATAGCTCGCATGCAATTAATGTCAAATATTTAGTTACTAACGTTTTAAAAGTCTTCAAAAGTCTTAAAAGTTTTAAAAGTTAGCAAGCCGAGCAAATTGTGATGTCGGTTGATTTTTTATCAAAACACAAAATCCGAAATCTAGTAACCGCAGCCAAGTATTGGTTGCTTGGGCTTAAAGTTATTACCGTTTAGTAATAAGATTATGCCGGCTGTAAAAGTTTTCCACAGATAAGGTAAAACTTTTATGTCGGGTTATTCCTAAATATACATATTTATGGTGAACATTACTTATCAATGCCACTTTGGTAAGGTCATATATGAATACGGTTTGATATCAATTTAATACTGGATTTATAAGAGTGAGTGTGATTTATAAATCGTTTTTCAGATTCCTATTTTCCGAGATTATCCTGCCAATCATAATTTTGTTCGTGTTACAAAATGTGGTGGGTTTGGAGCCCAGAGACATTCCAGTCTCGCTAGTCACTGGGAATCCTAATGTCACGAATAATGCGGAACTAATCGAATTTTGTGGACAAAGGGATCGTCCAATTACTTACACTAAATGCTTCGAAAATATGGGAATTTGTGATTTTATCAGAACCTTTGAACCACACGAGTTTGATTGGGTAAGAAATCTGTTTATATTGCGAAATATTTAGCATTATAATATTGATATTTTTTTCGAAATTATTTGATATTTCTAAAAGTAGTAAAAGCTTGTTAAATTTTGGACCACTTGTTTACTTAGTAAATTTCTAACTTTAATCATAGCAAAGTGTGAATGTTTCTACTTTTTCATTTGAAATCGATGTGATTGTTCCAAAATTCCAAATTTTGGTAAAATGACGGGCATTGAATAATTTTTACAAGTATTTCTATAACACTGGAAGGCTAAAGTTTATTTTTATCTTTTATATAAGTATTACGTTTCACTAACTTAATTCGACAGGTCACCACAAATTCGTTCGAAAGTGGGTTGCAAGACATCTATGACGGAAATACCTTTGCCGTTCTGGCTTTTCCACCCAACTACGCGTTTCACATGAAGAACAGGATAATCGAGAGAAATTTTGTGGATAACGAGACCATTTCAGGAACCACGATTTCCATCAGGATGGACGAGTCAAGTATGTGAATAAGTAATTTTCGTATTGCATTTCAAAATTGTTGGGTCATAAACTATTTTTTATAAATTTAGATGTGATCAAAACGTCGTGGATGAAACAAATCATTGCGACGAAATATGCCAAATATCTTAACAAAATCGGGGCCGCGTGTGGCGGAGATTATAACAGCGACATAGTTAAACCTGCAATTGGAGTGAGTGCAATTAACGACATATTGAGATTAATATCTGACCCAGACACGTGCTAACAAAGATAACTTTCTTAGTTGAAAATTGGGGTATTCACATCACTAAGAATTTAAGAATTTAAATGGATATACATACATATATGTAGGACTGCCAATGAGTTCGAGTCAACTCATTTGACTCATTGAGTTAGTGAGTTGAGTTGAGTTTGAGTCGAGAGTCTAGCTCGACTCACTTGGAAATGAGTGAGTTGAAAAATATTGAGTTTGAGTTGAGTTGCGGAAAATGAGTTCGAGTTGACTCATGAGTAAACTCACTAAGGATTTTTTACTTTGTCCATTTCGAGATTTTCACCTTGGTGAAAGCAAGCTGATAAATTTCTAATCAGCGATTTGGGATACAATTATTCACATTTTTCGATTTTTCCACTTTCAAATCCTCATGAATGTAATGTGAAGCACTTTCTCTTCAGATATCTCAAGCTTGAATTTGCTGGGCTGGACGAAGTAAAAAATGGACAAAGGTGCAATTGTGAAAGATTTTTTGAACGAGAAATTACAATGTTAAATGCACATATTTACTAAACTGTCCTCCCTATACACGTCGTCATGACGTACCGATTTGTTGACTAGCCTATGGAAATTATCACAACAATTTTATATTTCTAGATTCTAATCTTCCATATGTACAAAATCATGAAAATTGTAATTGGTAGCTACCGATATCGTTCTCAAGGGAAAATTTATTCAAAGATCAACAGTTTAACGAGATTTTTAACCATTTTTGAACGTCTTTATGTAAATAAATATTTTACTCTAAAAAAGGTGAGTCGACTCATATGATATGAGTTGAGTTTGAGTCGTTAATATTTGAGCTGAGTCGAGTTTGAGTTGAGATTAATTTGAGTCGAGTTGAGTTAGAGTCGGTGATGTTTCTTAATGAGTTGAGTTGAGTTAACCCTCAACTCAGCTCAACTCAACTCATTGGCCGTCCTACATATATGAACTGAAAATAAGAAATGAAAATTAACTTAATAGAGAGTTTGCGAAAAATTAGTTACGAGGAAAATTAATGCTTTGAATAATTCATAAAAAACGGAAAATATAGTAAAAGTTTTCGCTAACAGTATTTTGAGAAACGATTTGTACAACGTGAATACCCCCATTTTAGGACTAATCCTAAGAGTCTTTTGTACATATATGAACATTTTTTGCTAGTACACCGCCATCTATGGGGGACTTGGGATTGAAAGCATTATAATATTCTCTCAGCCAGCTATGTTGATTACGTAAGTATATTTTTGCAGTTTGCAAAAAATTACCGACAAATTATGAAAAATAACTTTTTTGCAGTACGATGGTCTTCTTGTCCCAAATTTCGGGGCTGGAGTGGATTCTGGATCGGATGGAAGGGTTGGAAGATCGTGATTATGCGGCCGGGGTGACGTTGCGACACCGGATTTGCGCCTCCATGATGACCGACTCGATCAAAATTGTCGTCCAATTGACCGTTTTCATCGGCTTGTTGACCACCGTGTATGGGATGGAGGTTCATGGGGCGTGGGTATTAGCATTAGGGATCGTCTTCATGGCAGCATTTGAAGGAGTTGCGATTGGTGAGGGACTTATTTTTTTTTACATTTATCATGAATGCAAATTTTTGCATGACTCGGGTGCAATTTTTAAGTAAGCTTTACGTAAAAGTGCAGTAGCATGTTGCGTAATTTACAGAATAAAAAATGCTTCTGATTTGTTGTTGACTCTTAAAAAGAATATCACACTTTAAGTGTAACACCTTTGAAAAGCAGCTTTTTCCCCGATATTTTTGGGTACAGGAAAAATTTCACATTATAGTGGTTCCATACGAACATTTTGCTATGCACTGATTTTTTCGAAATTGTAAAATCTTTCAAATCACCGATTGATTGAGATATTCACAGTAAGAAATGATTCCCAAATATCCATTTACAAAATATTCAAAATCGCACCAGACTTTCCTATCAAAAAGTAAATACTTTTTTGAACAAAACTGACATGTATGTTTTATGAATTATTTTTTTACAGGGTGGATGATTGGAACGTTACGAGATTCAGCGCTGGAGGCAATTGTTATCATTATGTTTGTCTCCATTTTTCAAGCTGCAGCGACAGGTAGTAATTTTAACAAATGTACTATTAAAAATAAGTAATGTCAACAATTTGAAAAGCAAATGCACTCTGAATTCATGAAATATAGCTCGATTTAGTACAGTTTAGTGAAGTGCATTTAAAAACTTTTCAAAAGGGTTACATTATTTTTAAGAGTGTGCATGTGCCTCATATTTATTCCCCTTGTTTGAACAAAAAGAGTGAAAATTTTGCATCTTGTAATTTCTAGGGGTATTCTTCTCCTTAGAAGTTACATTGGACTATTATCGCAATTATTTTTGCAACTGGTTGCCATCCACGTATCCGAACGAGGCTTTCAGATCGATAGTTTCGCGAGGGTGGGGCCTGGAAAACCCACACGTGACGAAGGGATTTATCGCCGCGGCTGGTTGGACTTTGCTTTCCATTGTCGTCGTAGTTTTAGTTGAACGAAGAAAACGGAAATAAATAAATTATTCAAAATAATTGTAACAATGGAGGATTTACTTATTTGAGCATTTTCATTAATTCATATTCCGAGGAATTTCCAAGAATATTTATTTCCTTCCAATAGCAAATACGTATATGAAAAATATTTTCGTAATTAACCTTTTTCGTACTAATAATTTGTTAATCAAATTTCGATCAAGTACGATGTTGCCTTCATAATTACATGCACCTGATAGAAGCCAATTAAAATTTCTACAAGTTTCCAAGTTTAGAGTTTTTTTTACGAAAAATCCACTTTTTAACATTGATAGGTATAGAGAAAATTCCAAAATTTTAGAAGGAAAATATGGAAAATAATTAACTTTTTAGAATCGCGTCTTCCATAAAATTCTCAAGAAATATTCATATCTTTTTAGAAACTTTGTTGTCGGTAATTTATGCTGGAAATATAGATATTGGTGTATTTCGCTCTCCGCGGAAAATAAAATACTACACAAATACATACATATACTTGGTCGTTAACAGGTTAAAATCTTTCTCGTAGCTCTGCATTGCTGCTATATTTTTATTCCTCTTGACAAACCTTCTGCACAAGTTAAAAGTGCAGTTTCAACTGTGGAAAATATCCAGCATGAAATCTCACACTGGAAAATGGAACAAAAAACAGACAGCCAGTTTCTTGAACTGGGAAAGACTTTGATTTGATACGGATATTATTCTCATAGTCACTTGACTTAATATATGCATTCGCACATAGCAATTAATTCAATGAAATTACTCAAACAAGGCAATAAAACAAAATCCAGTTGCGAATAGATGTACCTGAATCCCTTTGTGTTTTTTTCAGATTTACATATTTGTTTCTTCGTTTCATAAATTTTGCGTGCATGCATGCACGTAAATAAACATGGTCACATCGACTCTTTGGGGATTCCCAGATAAAACAAGTCTGAACCAAGGGGAAATTCCAATCTAAACACGGCTCATCGGGTTCATTTTTATTTTTGTAGGGTATAATTTTCGATTTTTACATTCTTAAAAATCTATGTTAGTATTAATTTTTTCTTCGTATTTTTAGTATCGTAAATAGTTTGTGAAGAGAAAAAGGGGGCCAAGCTTCGTAAAAATCTGACTTATTTTGCGATGCGAAGAATAATGAACGCTAAATTGTAGCCATTGGTGTCGGAAGCCGGGGGAAACGGGGGCATTATCCCTCTAGAAATGGAGGAAAAGCATATCTTGCCCATGTTAATAAGTCATTCTTCCTCATCCTATCCCACAATGCTTATGTATGCTCCCTACAACATGACGATGTTTGCATGCCACAAGCATAAAACGGGGTTGACAAATTTTACTCTTTCCAAACTTATTGCATTTTTTCTTCTCTTTGGATGCAAATATCTCTTTCAATTTTTTGGGGATTTTGCAAATTTCATATTAAACAAGTTTGTGATCAATTGTCACTCATTTATCCCAAAATCGGAGAGCATTTACTGGGAGATGTCCCTTGTGAGTGATAATAGTGCATGCTTATCTTGAATCTTTCCATGTTATTTCTTGAATCTTTCCATGTAATGTTTCCTTGTATTTCTGTGTAAAGATCACATGCATGCAGCATAAGTATTTACGTTTTTATACACGGACGGAATGGGACAATCTATCATTCTCTGTATGCATCTCCACGTCTAGACAAGTTCTCACAGCGTACGTAAGAATTATGGGGGACCGTGCAGACAATACGTCACCAAAAAGGTGGCTATTTCATCGCATATCTTATTATTGTTAAGCTTAACATGAGTAGGATAAGGAAGGAGTAGGGTAAAAAAAATTATTATTTTCACGACGTAATGTTTGAATGTTCCCTAATCGACTTTGTTCAATCGATGCATATACACCCAAAACTACTTCGCCCATGCTGGTAATAGTAGTTTGCTTTTGTACGAAACAGGGCTGGTTTTGGTGCTTAAGTTTATTACTTTTGATTGTACGGAAATATGTGGTGATAATTTTAAGAAAGATTTGGTTTACAAGTGTAACATAAGTTTAAGATAATTGACTATTTTAAAAATGGCGGTGGAAGTTAGGAACGGTTCGAAATCGTACTCCGGGGGTAAATTTATTCTCAGAAATTTCAACATGAAGGTCGGCCGAGGAGAAATGTTAGTAATTTATGTATTAATTATGCCATTCAATTACATGGGTTCCAAAAAAATTGGCGTTGTGATGTGTGTTTTTATGCTCATTGTAAATATTTGTATGCATGCGTGCTGCCTATGTAAAAGCCTATAAAATGCATAAAATTGCATGAAATATAGAAAAAAGTGCATGAAAATGGATGAAAGCGATTTATCCAGGGAATTTCATATGTTCAAGAAATTTAATACTTTTCTAACCTTTCAAGTCAGGGTAAGATTCGTAAAAAGTACAAGAATATATTTTTATGAATTTTTTCGAAATTTTGTTACGTATCCAGATATGTATTATTAAACGTGAAACAACATTTTTATGCACTACATAATTTCCTGCAGGTGTTTTAACAACAGGAAAACTGTTTTCATATCATTTCCATGATAATCTGCATGTCTACTTGGATTATTTATGTATGTCTACTTGCTTCATTTACAGTTATGGACTCCTTGGAGCGAGTGGGTGCGGGTGAGTAGAATTTCACATAAGGAACTCATCGTAAATTTATGAATTTGAATTTTTTTTTACATAAATGTACAGGGTGTTTTAAATGTCTCGCTACAATGGAAAAAATTTTTCAAAGGGAAAAATTCGTAAATTTCCATTAGTTACTGAAATTTTGTCTCTGAAATTCAACATTTTAAGAATTTTGTTATCAATGTTCCATCAGTTTTGATAATAACTAATAAAAATCCCAATTCCAAATCTTGTAACAAGTGGAGATTTAAGGGCTTTTTGAAAAATTTTCCATTGTAGCCGCCCTGTACGTGTATGTATGTATGTATGAATCGAAATCTGGAATTGATAAACTTTCGGAATGCATACTAGTCTAATTGTTTTAGAAAGACGACTCTCATGTCGTGCATCGTCGGCCTTCGTCACCTGGACGGTGGTGACCTGATGGTGTTCGGTCGATCCAGGAATGGTCACCTAGGTCACTTGTGTGGATACATGTCACAGGTGCGTACAAATATTTGCAAGCATGTAATTAAATATTTGCAAAATTCAAACAAGCGATGAAACCGATGGAACCATACTTCGCCCCATGTAATTAGCATCCGGTGACAAATGAAAAAAGTGATAATCCTTTCATGTATCGTTATTCATCTAAAATGACGGAATCGGTCAGTAATTTTGTTTGAAATGACAGGGATTTCATTCTCATTTACTACTATTATCAGTCAAATGAATGAAATTGAACAGGTACATATATTTGCAACTTTGCAAAATTCACACACCTGGTTATGTATGTTAAGGTACTACATACGAATTTATGTAATTTATGCGAAATTATTGTGTATCAAGTTATTATGTAGCTCGAGAGAGGGAAAGAGACTAAATAAATTAAATATATTTATTGATAGATGGATTTTATATTATAAGTAAAAAGTTCCCAGGAAACAAAACAATTTTATGTATGTACAAGTAGGAAAAGTAGCATTTATTTCATTAAAATTAGATACTATACGAGTTGCGTCAAGACATTATTCATTTATTTAGTTATTTCCTACTCTAAATACTTATGTAAATATAACGTTAAATTAAATTTCGTAACGCTATAAACTTAACGAGTTAATTAATGCTTATAATGTGTTTACATGGGAAGGGAAATTACACTTTAAGAAACCGGTAACTAAGTTATTACCAGGTGGAGTATCTATGTGACTCTACCGCCTAGTAATTAATTTATTATTGTGTGGTAGACATTTTGTTACCAAACTAGTAATAACCCCGGTCACGAAATTTGAAAATATTACCGGTTGGTAACTAATTTTCTACCACTCAATAATAAATTAATTACCATGCGGTAGAGTCACATATGTAAAACGGAGTTTAATCAGGGCCGATGGGTTTTAAAAGTTATGAAAGGTTTTTCATATAAATATGAATGTTTCATAAATTTATGAAACTGCACCAACAATGCGAATGGTGCGAAGTGTAACCCTCCGATTTGGTTGAAATTTTTAAATTACGTGGTCCATCTTGTCAATACAACCAACGTTTCTTGAGGCAGTTTGTGCGATGGTCAGAATTTGCCAAAATATTTGAGGTCAAATTTGAAAAACGGGCGATTTTGTTTTCAGCCAGAAAAAGGAAACTTACCTTCTAATCTCTTCCCGCACTACAAATCGCATATTTTTAAACTTTGCCCTCAAATATTTTATCAAATTCTGACCATCGCACAAAGTGCCTCAAGAAACGTTGGTTGTATTGACAAGATGGACCACGTAATTTAAAAATTTCAACCAAATCGGAGGGTTACACTTCGCACCATCGCTTTGTTCGTACCTTACATAATCACATCACAGAGAAGTTTGAAGTCTGACATAAATTTGAATTATTGCAGGATATTTCACTCCTCAATGTTCTCACGATTGGGGAAGTGCTGCATCATTTTGGCCTGATTTATGGCATGGCGGATGTCGCGATACAAAATAAGGTCAAATTCCTCACCAACTTTCTTGACTTGCCGGACACATCGAGACAAATTCAGCATTTGAGGTAGAAAAAAACGCTTATCGATCGAGAAATTTAAAGACAACATTTCAGCGGGGGTCAGAAACGGCGGGTATCGTTGGGCGTCGTTATGATCCACAATCCGAACCTGCTTGTCCTCGACGGTAATAATTTGAGCCAACTTATAAGTAATTAAGATTAAGATGATGTATTTAATATACTGATGTCCCTATTAGAGCCTACCGTAGGGCTGGATCCCTTATTAAGGCAAAGGTAAGGACGTAAGCATAAAAAATTTTATGAAACAAGAAAATTTTACAACAAATTTGCAAAAACTTTCCGAAATATGAGCTGCTCGTAACTATGTGAGTTAACCTACAGGTTTTTGTTCATAATTGCAGAATATGGCAACACCTATTCGAAATATCCCGCAGCGGGACAACCATTATAATATCGACACATTACGTGGAAGAGTCTAAACGCTGCGATAAGGTGGGTTTATGGAAATAATTAATTTTCAAACAGGTTGGTTTCATGCGGGGCGGGAAACTTTTAGCCGAGGATGCCCCCGCCTCCCTACTTTCCCGGTATAACTCACCCACTTTGGAAGATGTCTCCCTCCACTTGGCTCGTCTGGACGACGAAAACCCCCAAAACTACGCCCCACCTGACATTGTAAGCACGAAGTGGCTCCATTTCACGCTAGGTGACGAAGAATCTGGCGTCGTGAAGGCGAAATTGTATCGTAAATTGTCCATAAGCCTGCATGATAATGTGATGGTTAACTCGCCTGTCAATGTGGAACCGAACCACGCCTCCATCATTTATGCGCTTGCGCTGAAAGCATGGCGGAGGCGGAAGAGAGACTGGAGGTGAGTTCCTATTTTTTAGGAGGGAAATTTGGATAGTATTGTAATGTATTAACTGTTGAAAATCAGGTGGTATTTAATGCACCTCATATTTAGCTGAAAGGTTCCTATTATTTTAGTTAAATTCGAATTTGAGTTAGGACCGATTTGAAAAACTTTACAATTTAAAATGGTCATGAATATGGTCATGAAGTAAATAAGACGCAATTAATGATAAATATCTGCACTCAATGTACTTTTTTAAACTTGGGTGACTAATTTTTTTAGTTTTCACTCGTAGAAATGTTGGTAACCTTTTGAAAAGTAAATATTTAAAAAATACTAAAAGTATTTTGAAAAGTAAAAGAATCTTAACATTATTCTTAAGAGTGTGCACATTTTTAATGAATGCACGCCTATAATTTTTTCAGATTCCTATTTTCCGAGCTTATCCTGCCAATAATTCTCTTATTCGTGTTTCAAAACGTGATCGGCCGGGAGCCCAGAGACATTCCAGTCTCGTTAGTCACGGGGAATCCGAACGTCACAAATAACGCGGAGCTGCTAGAATTTTGTGGACAAAGGGTTACTCCGAAATGTTTTGAAAATTTGGGAATTTGCGATTTTATCAGAACCTTTGAACCACACGAGTTTGATTGGGTAAGGAATCTTTGATTTATTTTAATTTGAAATTTTTACAAATGTTTAGCAATGTTGGTACTTCCAAATTTGTAACTCGGCCACTTTATATAAAAATTTTGTCCGTTTGTCCGTCAGTAGGATGGTCGGGGCAAAATGAGATTTTTATCGTCAATACTTAGAATAGCCGTGAGTGACTGTGTTTGTCTGTCCAATTCGAACGTGTGCGCTTGAACTTTGTTTGTGGATGGGGAAAAAGGAGACCCAATTCCATGTTATTGTAAATTTAAAAAAAAACATAAGAGCCCTACCTTGACTATCAATGATTGGGGCATTATGAGATTTTCGATTTTTGCATACTGCTGTTACGCAATATATCAAATCATTTCAATACTAAGAATTGGGTAGCGGTGTGTGTGTGGTACCATTTGAACTTGGCGCTGCGATATCACAGTATGCCAAACGGGCTTCACTAACCCCAGACCCGTCTAGACGGGTTAATAAACTTGTGGAAATTAAATCTGAATATATCTCCAGTGAAATTAAGAGTTCCCTCCTGTCTTGAGTCCACGGGATTGAGGCGAAGTGAGACTGAAGCTACTTCCTTATGTGCGTTTCATACGTTTTTTTTCTTTTCGCTTAATTCCACAGGTCACTGCAAATTCGTTCGAAAGCGGGTTACAAGACATCCACGATGGAAACACCTTTGCCGTTCTGTCTTTTCCACCGAACTACGCGTTTCACATGAGGAACAGAATACTCGAAAGAAATTTTGCGGGCAACGAGACCATTTCAGGAACCACGATTTCTATCCGGATGGATGAGTCAAGTTAGTTGTTTTTCATAAATTGTATGACATAAAATAGTAGAGACAAAAACTGAGTTTTTTAAAATTTAGATTTCATAAAAACATCCTGGATGAAGCATCTTATTGCGACGAAATATCTCCGATATCTGGGCCAGATCGGGACCGCGTGTGGTGGAGATGACGAGAATGACATGATTAAACCTCCAGTCAAGGTGAATTAAATTTATATAACTCCTTTAATGCAAAATTTGCATTAATATTCATGACAAACAGGGACGCGTTGACATACCCACAGCCCCAGGGAGGATCCCAACCTATTACCTGGCGTCGTGGGTATGTCAACAACTTACATGTCAGGTTAGGCTGAATCTTCTTATTTCCTTATCATATAAAGCCATTTCTTTCAGTTTTTAGTGAATGAATGGAATACGAAATTATATCTCTAAGTTTTCGGCATATTTTAAATCATGGCCTAATTATAGCTGCATTTGTATGATGATTATTCCGTTTTTTTTAGAATAGTTGTGTTTGGAATTCTCATTGTACGATCTAATCTTAAATATATGTAATAAAGGGTTGAAATTCCCTAAATTTATTTGAATCGAAAAAAAAATCATGACAAACCAAAGTTTGCATACAATATTTGGCTACTTACTATTAGTATTACATATTATTTAATAAAGTTGTGTAGTAAATTACTACTTAAAAATTAATTACCACTAGTAATTAATTACAAGAAAAGTCGAGAAAGTATGTATGCAAAGTCTAGTAATTGGCAATTACCCGACTGATTTATGAAATCAGTAAATGAGTAATTAATTAGACCTTCTCTCTTGGCGGAATTATCTACATTATAGAAATAGATAATGAGTAATTAACTATAATAAATACTCATGAGATTATGAAACACTGATTCAATAAATTTTATAAATAGTATACCGCCATCTATGGAGGAGTTGGGATTGAGAGTATCATAAAATTCTCGCAACCCGCGCTCCTAATTTAGTAAGTGTTTTTTGAAAATTTTTCCAAAAACTGATACACACGCTTAAAAATTATGTTACCCAATTGAAAAATTAATCAAGTCTAAATTCAATATTATGTAAACTACAATAAATCCAGCATAAATCTAACTTGATCAAGAGCCAACTTTACTCTGGATTAATTAATAGTATAATTTCCATAATATAAAGGGTGTCGATTGAATTCGTCCCGACAATAAGTTTACGGACTGAAACAAACTTTAAAGCACAATGATATTGTTTCCTAGAATTTTGACCATGAGTTTAAGATAAGTTCTTATCATGAGGATCATAAAATTCGACAGAAGAATCCAAGTTTTCATGGCTTTTAAGCTACAAGTTTTCAAATTTTTACGAAAAATCAGGACGAATTAAATCAACACACTTTAGACTTTATGTAGATTTTACTCTTACTTTAAGAAAATGACTGAGTGCGAATGAAAATCTTCAGTCAGAAATTGGGATGACTGAATTTTGAATGAAAAAAGTTTGTTTGAACAGGTATCAACAAAGATTTAAAAATATATTTTTTCACAGCATAATGATCTTCTTATCACAAATATCCGGACTGGAGTGGATTCTGGACCGTATGGAAGGTTTAGAAGATCGCGACTATGCGGCCGGGGTGACGCTACGACACCGCATCTGCGCCTCCGTTGTGACCGACTCGATCAAGATTGTCCTTCAGATGACCGTTTTCATCGCTTTGTTGACCATCGTGTACGAAATGGAGGTCCATGGGGCGTGGCCACTCGCGTTGGGAATCGTCTTCATGGCGGCATTTGAAGGAGTTGCGATTGGTGAGGGTAAAAATTTGAAAATTTTATATGCGCCATGCATATGAATTTGTGCTCCGCACATACCTGTTCAAAAATTTAATTTCCATTCAAAAGTTAGTCATTCCGATTTCTAACGAAAGGTTTTCATTCACGGGTAGCCATTTTAGTTTAGATTCATTTCCTCTCACTTCATTTTATTCGACGTCCCCCCATGTATAAGCACGGGGTGAAAAATGAAGGGAGTGAAAAATCCTTCATTCATAGTCATTCATCTGAAATGACGAATTCTTTCATTCATTTTGATTCTAATGACAGAAAATTCATTTACATTCAATATAAATATTATAATTAGTCAAATGAATGAAAGTGACCAGGTATGATGAAATACTTTATGAATTATTTTTTTACAGGGTGGATGATTGGAACGTTGCGAGATTCAGTAATGGAAGCAATTGTTATCATAATGTTTATCTGCGTTTTTCAAGCTGCAGCGACAGGTACGTCATCTTCAGTAATTTTCATACGTAATTAACTTCTCATGTTATCACAAAATCCACAATTTATGTATTTGCACAAAAATGTATGAATTTGATATTCATATGTATGTAAAATACCCATTATCATACTCAATTGACGGCTTTTAGAATTTATTTTGAACTTCAGAGGACGATAAATTTGGAGTAGTTGGTTAATAGAATAGCGATAAGTTTAAATATATATTTAAATTTTGATAAGTTCCACTTTTTCTGAAGGGTACTTAAGCTTGAGATCTCTTCCTTTCTAAAAGTGTCAAAATCTTGAGGGTATACATATTTTACAAAATTGGCAACTCCTTACAAATTTGTCGGACAGAACTTTAGAATGAATTCTTAGAGGCGAGAAAGACTTTAAAATGTGCTGATTTAGAAAGTTGTCGTGATAAGCCTGGTACTTGGGACGGATTTTTCAGTGAAAAAGTTGAGAAAAAGAGGAAGAAATAAACTTAAGTAACATTTTGCAGTTGATTTGTAGAAACACTCCAATTTGGTTCAGTTTGTCGTGAATTTCAAGTAATTCTAGTGAAAAAGTAATTTAACACAGAGCAAACGAAAATGTCCTTCCGCGTGAAAAATCCGACCTGAGTATTGGGCTAAGTTTGAAGGAAGAGTGAAAATCTGAGAAATGCTGCCTCTTGTATTTTTTCAGGAGTATTCTTCTCTTTAGAAGTTATAGTGGACTATTATCGCAACTATTTTTGCAACTGGTTGCCCTCCACGTATCCGAACGAGGCTTTCAGATCGATAGTTTCGCGAGGATGGGGCCTTGACAACCTTCACGTGACGAAGGGATTCATCGCCGCGGCTGGTTGGACTTTGTTCTCTATTTTTGTCGTAGTTTTAGTTGAACGAAGAAAACGGAAATAAATAAATTATTCGAATTTTATTCAACAATGTAATGTGTGAATTACTTGGGTTTGGGCCATGGTTTTAAAAAAGTGCCAAAATATTCGCAAAGTTGCTAGATACCGTAAAAACTCAAATAGTAGCCGTTGCTCGAATAGTAGCCTTGCCCAATTAGTAGCCTTATTCAAATAGACGCGTCTCTATTTCCATACAGCCACACTTCTTGCCAGTTCATTAAGATAATTAAATCAATTAAATTAATTTATAGTTCTATATAATCGCAGTTCAATGTGGCAAATTCTGACCATCGTACAAACTGCGCTAAGAAACGTTGCTTGTATTGACGTGGACCACGTAGTTTCAAAATTTCAACCAAATCGGAGGGTCACACTCAGAGTGTGCAAGGGCAAAAAGGCATGCCGTGCCTAAAATGCCTTTTTGCCTATTAGGCACGTGAATTTCGGCCATGCCCGATTACCCGAAATGCCTTTTTGCCTTTTTGGTAAAATCGGGGCAATGTGATAATACGATTCCATGATTTATTAGTTTTAATCTTTCACAATTTACAGGTTTTATCATAACTTAATTATTCAGTGAATAATTATTAATCCGATTAATCCGATTTGGATGATCGTCGATACCACTAAAAAAATTATGCACATCTTGAGGTGTACAATTATTCAGAAATACTCTAAATTATCATGACCATGACTGCGTATATAAGGAAGTAATGTTGTGGATTAATTGTGCAGAAGTGTAAGGTGGGTAACGTTTTAGAACAACCGAAATGTAAAGCCAATTGTATTGTTATCACACTTTTTTGTCCATAGAAAAATTTGTAAAATGGTTCAGGCAATACCCAATAGAAACATACTCAAAAAGGCAAAAAGGCACCAAACGGGCAAAAGGGCACGCAAAACGGCAATTCGGCATTGAAACGGGCAAACCGGCAAAAAGGCATGAATTTTTTCCCAACAAGGCGCCTTTTTGCATACTCTGGTCACACTTCACACCATAGCATTGTCAGTGGTACTCAAAAACCTCGCAAAAGCACATCACCACCACCACAAAGGACGAAATCCATGCTCACCAGAGCCGGTGGAGGCAGGGTAAGGAAAACCTCGGGGTTTTGCTATTGAAAACCCAGGTACTGTGCATTTTTACGCCCATCAATTCCCCGTCATCGATTCTCCCCCATCGATTCTCACCCAACAAATTCCCCGCTTTATCAATTCCCCGCCGTCAAATTCTCCCCCGTCTAATGAAATGCACCAAAGTTTTTCCCCCATATAACTCTACGGCTATACTTAGCCTATGAAATTCCAGCAATGATAAAATGATAAAACCTCAAGCGTCAAAACCTCATTCCAAATTTTTAACTAATGTGTTTCTTTTGATGATTTATGTCAGATTTATTAATTGTTTGATTATTGAATTGCACTTTTGTGTCTTTGACCTTGGCCTCTTGAAAAAAGGGTTACGACCTCACATGACCTCGGCTTATTTTATCATTAATAGAATTTCATGGGCTAACCATAGCCGATACCCCTTTTAGAGTTATACCAGGGGAAACTTTGGTCCATTTCACGAGACGGGTGAGAACTTGACGACGGGGAATTGATGGCGGGGAATGGATAAAGCGGCGAACTTGTTGGGTGAGAATCAATGGGGGGAATCAATGACGGGGAATTGATGGCGGGGAGTTTACACCAAATCGAAAACCCATACCCCGGGGTTTTATCTGGGTTTTGCGGCTAGTCGGGGTAGTCGGGGTTTTGAGGGCAAACTGAGTCAGTGTCTCATGTATTAAGTTCAGAAATTAATGAAAAAATCAGTTTTTCAGTAATTTCGCAACAAAACTGCTTATTAATTATATTTTAATAAGTAATTAATTTGTTGAATTGCTAGTAATGCCCTGTTATCATATTTTGTAAAATCTGAATACATACCCCGACTACCCGTGGGTATTGCTCAAATTTGATACCCAAAACCCACCAAAACCCGCAATACCCCAATACCCCAAAAACCCGGGGTAGCATAACCTGGGTGGAGGCATACATACATACTCTTCATCCATGCAACTTTGAGCCATGGCTAAATCTAGCTCCATAAGAAACCCCCGTTTTTAACATTGCTCAGTACATATTTAGCCACGGCTCAAAGTTGCATGGATAAGGTGTAGATAATCTATCATCGGAATTCTTAAAGAGAGTCGTCTGAAAACGATAAATTGCTAATAACATAGGAATAATTCCAACTATAAGAAAAACCACAATTCTGTGGGAATTTTACCCACGCCTCCTCAGCGCGTGGCGTCCTTGCACCTGTTCAAACAAACCTGGAAACCTTATTTAGTAATTAGAGATTTCTCACGATAATAAATAAATAAATTGCAATAAAAACCATTTCCTAGATAGTTTTGTTAGATTGCTTTTGCTTTGCTGATTTTTTCTTGCTTATTTTTGTCTAATTGTTTCCCCATTTTTGAACATTAACGCAGCCAGACTTATGTATGCCATATGTATACAAATTTGACCAATTTCAACAAATGAATTGCTTAATTACAATTTTGGTACACTCTTAGAAATCCGAGATTAAAATACATAATTTCAGGTGGGATTCATATACACTCTTAAAAAACTGGGATTAAATCATTACCGACCGGAGTACATACTATTAACTGCACTGGTATTAACGAGAATTGCCGTTCAGTAACCTTATGGTAATGAAAAACTTACCACTCAGGAAGAAGTTACTACTAATCCGGTAGGAAATAATTGCCAAATCAATACCGTATAAATATGTGAACAAGCTTGGTATCATATCGGTAGTAACCATATCGGTAGTAAAAATGACGTTTGTACATATTTGGCAAAAAATAGCACAGTTTCTTGAACTTGGAAAGACTCTGTTATGGATGAGTTAAGTAGTATGCTCACCTAATTTTTTGCCTACGCGCAAATAAATTGAATAAAATTACGCTCAAGCAAGGCAATAAAATAAATCAAGTTGTGAATTTGTATATCTTACTCGTTGTGAAGGCATATGTTCCTGTTTCAGGTTTGCATATTTCTTGGAAGTCATTAATTTTGCGTGGATGCATATGTACATTGTATGTATGGGTACATTTGCATATTTATGGCCACCTTGACACTTAGGGATTATCAGCTTAAACAAGTCGGATTTTCCAGCAACAAGTACATGTTCCAGTCAGTGGCCGTGGAAGTGTAGAGACAGAGGGACAATGTCACCACGGTCATTCGATGTCACCATCATCTGTCCACATTGTACATAAATACCTTCACATTTAATGACAATGTCCTCAGATGTCCCTGCGCCTTCAGACGCCACTGATCTCAGTCACCGGGTTGCAAAGATTTCTATTCTCACAATTATAATTCTCTTTTTCACAATCTTAGAAATCTTATTAGCATTAAAATTATTTGCATTACGATAGTAAATGTAATACCGAGCAATAAATCAAAATAACAGATTTCGAACAGTGCTTGAATGTGTAGCCGAAACTTTTAAAATCTTACAATGGGGACGCAAACCATGTTCAACCCAGATTATTTTTTACCATGGTACATACATACATATATAGTTTGAACTACCAACTTCCTAGAAATAACATTTAGTCCGATGATTGTCCTGATGCGTAAAATTATGCAAGCTTTGGGCGCCTCAAGTTCGTGATAACGCGCAAAGATTTCCGTAAAGAACATATTCCGCTGAAAAACCTATAGACTTCGCGAAACTGTTGGGCCCATAATACTTAGAATTTTGCACATCTACTCAAGCGCCACACTAAATGTTGCTTGTAAAGAATTGCTCTTTCAAAAGATAATCTGGGTTGAACATGGTTTGGAACATGGTCCCCATTGTCAATAAAATTGGCACCTGCTGTAAGTTAGACAAAGATAAGATAATCCATTTAGCTTCCTGCAAGGCGAAGCCAAGATCTGCACAGCATCTGGCACATGTATGCAGGAATCTGCACATCGTTAATTTGGCAAGACATGTGTCGTATGTAGATATTGATGTACATACCTATGTATATATCTCAGGTGAATAGTAGTTTTTGGATCGTATTATATATCTGTATTCACCTGTGAACCCCAAACAATCGCTGGACTATGGGAACGTCCGTAAATATATTACGTCATGAAAGTGGTGGATGCGTGGTTTTTGATCGCTTACTAACGTTAAACTTAACATGAGTTAGAAAGTGACGGGGTGAGTGATGTAAAAATTTACGTTTTTTGATGGTGTAATATATGGACGTTCCCTAATTCAGCTATGCACAGTGTTCTACATATATGTACTTTTGATGACATGAATTGCATCAATTGCATAATTATTGCATAATTAAATACATAAGTGATTTATGAGCCATTTAAACAAGAAGCAGAACCGAGATTTATATAGTTTCACTAAAAAGTTTTGCCAAGGTTTTAGCATTGGGTATTTACATATGTATAGCTATGTAAGATTGACGAGCTACACATGTCCATCACATATCTACACATTTATGATATATGCAAATAAATACATGTGTACATACGTACGTACGCATGGAAAAATTGATGTTACACACAATTTCTTGCCCTGTACTTGTGTCCCTGTTGTAATATCACTTCATCGAAACCCTGTCACTCATCGTTTCTTGTTTGCATTTTCATAGATACCTTTATGTATGTCCCTGTCACTCACCGGTGGTCATTTGCATATAGATACATATATGTAATTAATACAATTCCGTCACGAGGCATAGATACTCGATTTCTTGTTAACTTACAACAGCGAATGAGTACTTATACACAAATTATATAATTAGGTATATGTATCTACAAATATACATACATGACAATCTGCTTCATGTGCAAAAACGTTCACACGGAGTGTATATTTATTTACGATCCATGCAAATATCATGCAAAACTACATATGTATGTATGTGGCCACGTGTAAACACGACTTTGTTTATGCACACACATACAGAAAACCTGTTGTTCCCTTGCTCGCCTACATTACTAGTTGATCTCCATGAAGGACAGGACAGAGAGCTTTGTCCTCCATAACTTCATTTTTATTTGCGGTTTTTATTAATTTATTTGTGCAATTAGATTTTATTAAAGAAAATTTATATTCAAAAGTGTGAAATTTAAAATAATTAATTTAATAATTTAATATAATAATTTAAAAAATGGCTGCGGTTGAAGTGAGAAACGGTTGGAAATCGTACTCCAAGGGGAACTTTATTCTCAATAATTTCAACATGCAGGTCGGCCGGGGAGAAATGTTAGTTATTTTGTGTGCGTTAATTAACTATTAATTAATGGTTCTCCAGTTAGATGTTTGTGCAGTTAAATGTTAAATGTTTCCAACTAGGGAAAGAAATGTTAAGGAGAATATTGTGCAAATGCGTGGTCTTGATTTTTAACTCTTTTTTATTTAAAAATTAGTCTTGCCAAAGAAGTCACCAACACGTGCACAATTGAATTTTTTATGTATTTTTAGATTTTCAGATAGGGTTTGTGTGAAATGATATAAATTTCGAATAAAGACAAAAATTTAAATTTTTTTACTAGACTGTATTTTATTGAGCCAGAAATAAGCCTTAAATCCGCTGGCGCAAAAAATGTTGAATTTCCAATTTCTTTTATTTCGTTGGAATTAATAAGATTGGGCCGTATGTCGTATGTATGTAAATATGGGAGTCTAACAATTATTAAAAGTTCAAATTTGCACAAATTGGTGACTCCTTAGTTATAGTGCATTTAGGCCCAACTCATTTACAACTCGTCGGCAAGAGTAGTGGATATTATAAAAATTTATGTATGTATATACTTGAATTATTCATAATTTAAATGTGCTTTTTAATTCACAGTTATGCACTCCTTGGAGCGAGTGGATGTGGGTGAGTGGAATTCCATGAAAATAAATGCATGACAAGTCACAGAAAATTTATGAATAATCCGAGATTCATAAATTCATAAAAGACTCATCATCACTTATGAAGCATATTTTTTTAATATATATTTTTTAGAAAGACTACCCTCATGTCTATCATCGTTGGTCTTCGTCACCTGGACAGTGGCGACCTGACCGTGTTCGGAAGACAGAGAAACGGTTATCTCGGTCACTTGTGTGGGTACATGCCACAGGTAAATATTGTCAATTAAATGCAAATACGCTAAGTTAATTACAGTTAATTACATACATTAATGAGTTAATGTTCACTGTAAATAATTTTGAGACAAATCGTCACCAGGCGGAGCTATTGGAGCTAATTTATTTTTGGGTAATAATCTAAGGTGTGTCCACTATATAGTTGGATTGATGGATTTTAAATGGTACTCGGCAGTTGGTGGTGGTTGTTGTTTAGCTATATGATTTTTTGGAAACCCAATTTCAAGGGCAATTATCAGGTGGAAAGCCCTTTTTATCAGAAAGTCTAAATTCAATAGAAATCAGGGTCAAAGTGAAGACCTCGCGAATCGAGTTTTTCACAACTACAAAATCACCACTTCACGTTATTCGAACAAGACGTGGCAGGAGATCAAAAAGCAAGGATGTCCCAAAACAACAATTTTCCTTAACATTTCGAAGTATTACGATGACAAAGAGTGAAATTCAAAAGACATTCCACATCAACTCCGGTCATGACCATCCACCAAAGCTCGAAAAACATTTATAAAATCTTGGGCACTAATTCTTCGACGTCACCTCGTTGTGCCGCTCTGGTACTGAAATTTTCACAAATTTTATTGCGCAACATTTAAGTTCGCAAACTGAGGATTCCGGAAAAGTTCAAACCAAGTTCCCCAAAGTACGTTAAAGACCAAAAATTACATGCGAAAAATTTTGCAAAAAAATGTGTCGCGAAATGTCATGACAAATTATCATCGCTTATGACAAGACCTACGTCGAAGCTGATCCCCCAAAGACTTCGAAAAGCACATTTTTTCATTCAGGCAACCCTGTAAGTGTGGGTTATCAACAGAAGTTGTACGTGAAATCTAAATTCCCTTCAAAATTCCAAGCAAGGCTTACATTGAGACAAATGGGCTTAAAACAGAAAACCCTCTAAATGTGCCTACTTACGAAAAATTGAAAAGTTTTTGGCCTTGTGTAGAAGTTGATACTCTAACCGTCGCTCAAAGGCAAAAAAACTGGAAAATTTCGAACGTTAATGGCGAAAAACCAGCAAGGACATTCCGCAAGTGGGTGGAAAATCGCTAATTTGAGGGTTGGTGCGGAAATTGTCATTGGTGGCCCAGAAGAGGCTCAGACAAATCGTCTGCGACAAAAACTGACGGACATGGTTCCCGGCTACACTACCCCAAAGGTTTTATAAAAATCTTCTAATTAGGTGGAAATCCACAGGTCATGGATCCCAATCCAACTATATAGTGGACACACCATAGATAAGGCAAAAACTCACGCACCAAGCACACGAGACGTCCGCTTTTAAAACAATCAATACTGTCATGTAAAAAAAAGTCAGATAAAAATGTTCAATTTTTTTACCTACGACGTTACGTGTTTGTTACACGAGTTTTTGACTTCTTTCCAATTGGTGACAAAACGTATTCCAAATCGTTACCCAATCATAGAGCACTAATTATGTACCTCCGGCGGAGATGATTCGCCTCAAAACTATTTACGACCTGGTGCTAATCGACCCCAAACGGTGTGCATATGTTACTTCACCGCGTGGTGATACAATTTATCAGCATGCGGTTGGTATTAACGTTGCTACCGCTTGGTACAAAAATTATACTTAGTTTGCATGTAAGTCCAGTCCATAAAAATCTGCTACCGGTATGTTCAGACTTTAATACCGGTTACTTTTCAATGTCACTTAGGTAAGTGTCGATATGAATTGCGCTATATTATTTTACGACTGGATTTCTTAGTGAATAAGACTTAACTTCCAGTCACAACTTTGGAGGCTTTTTCTCACAATTAAAATGAACAGTGTAAAAAATTGTGTTTTTAGGTATCTAAATTACATACTTGTATGTAAATTTTGCATGGTATAAAATTTTATTCCCACATATGTATCAAAGGTTGGTTTATTAGTTTGGTTAATCATTTATATTAAGTAATCAAATACATACGTATTCAGTTTACACTCAAAATAAAATTTGTCAAATCAACACCGCCGGTGTCAATATATGACTTAACCGCCTTGGTTACAATGCTGAATCCGAGTTATGATGATTTTGATACCGGTAGTTATAAGGTTATGACCGGACGGAAAAAATTCATTACTACTCGGAATCATAATTGTAACCAAGGCGGTTAAGTCATATATTGACACCGTTTTGTTTTGAGTGTACATATGTAAAACGTTTAAAATATTCTGGATGATTACCCTTTTCAGGAGGATCTACAAGAAAATGCATTAAAGACCATACATACATTATGTCATCGAAAATTTTAATTTTTCAGGACATTTCGCTCCTTAATGTTCTCACGATTGGGGAAGTTCTGCACCATTTTGGCCTGATTTATGGCATGTCGGACGTCGCGATAGAAAATAAGGTCAAGTTCCTCACCAATTTTCTCGACTTGCCCCACACCTCAAGCCAAGTTCAGTGTTTGAGGTAAAGAAAATCGTTGAGCTACTATTTAAGCGGGAAATTTAAAAAAAAATAATTTGCAGCGGGGGTCAGAAACGGCGGGTGTCTTTGGCCGCTTGTATGATCCACAATCCGAACCTGCTCGTCCTCGATGGTAATAATTTGAGCCAACTTATGTATAATTGAGATTAAGATGATGTAACTTACTGATGACCCCATTCACAGAACCTACCGTAGGCCTGGACCCCTTATTAAGGCAAAGGTAGGCATTATTTACAAACATTATAAAATTGTTTTTAAAATTTACCTATCTATGGTAGCTGAAGAAATTCGATTATTGAGAACTATATCTTAATTGTGTTTGTGTCTTGTGTTCATCAAATTTTTATGGATAAGTGGTCCTTTGAAATCTTTTTAAAAATTTTCCGGAATTGATCACATGAGTTATGTATGTACGGCCCCATGTGGGATTCTTTTGACGAGTTGTTGTATACTGTTCGATATCCGAATGACACAACTTTGAGTGCACCATTAATGAATATTTATGTATGTAGTTTATAGTTTTTATTTTTATGGATGTCCTGTAACTAACAGAACATTTTAATGCAGAATATGGGACCATTTGTTCGAAATCTCCCGTAGCGGGACTACCATCATACTATCCACACATTACGTGGAAGAGTCTAAACGCTGCGATAAGGTGGGTCGATTTAAATTATTACCCGGTTATCAGTCAATCAACTACTTCTGCTTATCGAATAGGTGGGTTTCATGAGAGGCGGGAAACTGTTAGCCGAAGATGCCCCCGCTTCCCTGCTTTCCCGCTACGACGCCCCATCTCTGGAAGATGTCTCCCTCCACTTGGCCCGATTGGATGACGAAAACCCGCAAAACTATGCCCTACCGGACATTGGAAACCGGAAATGGCCCCATTCCAGGCGAGACGACGACCAAGAATGTGGCGTCGTGAAGGCGAAAACGTATCGTAAATTGTCCATTAGTCTGCACGACCACGTGGCCCACTCGCCCGTCAATGTGGAAACGAACCATGCCTCCATCATTTACGCGCTCGTGTTGAAGGCGTGGCAAAGGCGGAGGCGAAACTGGAGGTGGGCGCCTAAGGCGGGAAGTTTGAATATTTTTTGATACACTGTTAGAAATTCGGTACGGGTGTCAAAGCAGATGGATTTTGCTAATACGGCGTAGTAATAACTCGGTATTAAAGTTTTACCATTTTTGTTACAAGATTTGTAATTTTAGTACGACGTGGTAGTAACTTTAATATCGGAGAATCAATATCTGTCTGATTTCTAACAATTTATCAAAGGAGTTTTTTCGGCGGGACTTTTCTTGGGCGGGAACTTTGAACATTTCTTTGTAAATCTTTACAGACTTCCCTTTATCGAGCTTGGTTTGCCAGTTCTTATCCTCTTCGTGTTACAAAATACGGTCGGACTGGAGCCCCGAGACATTCCAGTCTCGTTCGTCACGGGAAATCCGAACGTCACGAATAATGCGGAGCTGCTCGAATTTTGTGGACAAAACGTTACCTCGAAATGTTTTGGAAACATGGGATTTTGCGATTTTGTCAGAACCTTCGAAGAAAACGAGGTTGTTTGGGTAAGAAATACGTATTTAATGTTTTTGTGTTTCCTATTTAATTTTAATGTTGACATTTTTTTGTGAAAATCGTTTCATATTTCGAAAAATTGTCGGTGCATTTTGCCCATTAAATTTTTGATCTATTAATTTGGATCACGTTCTATTCTTAATTTTTATATTTGTCCACTTAAATTTTGAGTTTTTCACATATATTTCTTTGTTTCTATTTTTAAGTTGATACCCTTGATGACCTAAATTTCATTGTTTTACGTTTCATTTAATTCGACAGATGACAACAAATTCGTTCGAAAGCGGGTTACAAGACATTCACGACGGGAAAACCTTTGCAGTCCTGGCTTTTCCACAGAACTATGAGTTTCACATGAGGAACAGGATACTTGAGAGGAATTTTGCGGATAACGAGACCGTTTCAGGAACCACGATTTCCATCAGGATGGATGAATCGAGTACGTAAATAGATTGTTTTTAATATTTTGGGGTCACCCCACAGAGTTGGATTACTTAGATAGAGGGAGTCAGAGAAGACATGGCCAGATTCGAGAGAAAAAATATGAATCATTATGAATATCAAAATTTTCCGTGATCGAAAATTTGCTTAGATATTTAAGTTAAAATTTCGACGTTTAAAATTTAAAATCACTGAATTGGTTTTTCAATTTATAAAAAGTAATTGTTAAATATATAGCATACACCCTTTTAAATTAGAGGTTAACGCCGCCAATCGTATACCGATAATCCGCTAAATCTGATTTCTAAGGCGCTGCGTCGCCAAAACATCATCCAAAATTGGCGCCAAGTTGGTCGGCGTTGATCCCCGTTTCAGATAACGTAGATGTTTAAGTTGTTAATCCAAAATTTTTGAGATTACAGCTGATTTTTGTTTCTCCAGATGCGATCAAAACGTCGTGGATGAAGAAAACCATTGCGACGAAGTACATCCAATATCTAAACAGGATCGGGACCGCGTGTGGCGGAGATGACGATAGTGACATGATCAAGCCTGCGGTTAAGGTGAGCTGGATTTAAATATGTAGTTCATTTCGGTCAGATTCAAATTAATCGGGGTATTTATGTCGCCATGGATATTTGCGTGCAAATGTAATTTAGACAAGTGCTCCGCACGAGTCCGATTCGATACCCGAGTCAGACTCGGATTCCCGGTTTTTGTATATTCGCCTATATCTCGACTCTGAGTCTGAAACCAGCATTTGGGATTCCGCTTCAGATTCTAGTGAATTCGAAATTTGACCAAAATTCCGATTTACTAAGCTTACAAATTCGCAAGTTTGTAATTTTTAGACCAATTTTTTTTGGGGAAATTGTGAACTCTGTTTTTTCGTAAATATTTCTATTAATGGGGAAGTCTTAATCTTTCACCAAAAATGTGAGAACAAAAATTAATTTTAAGCATTTGACGTATTTTTTGTACTAGTACACCGCCATCTATGGAGGACTTGGAGTTGAGAGCATTGTGAAATTCTCACAACCCGCGATGCTAATTAAGTAAGCGTTTTTTTTGAAAATTTCCTCAAAAACCGATTCACACTTCTAAAAATAATATCATCATTTTGAACAGTAAACGTACTCTGGATTCAACATTGAGTTAACTAAAATGGAGGTCTCCCAACGTATGCTCACAGATTTGGACCAAACAAGACTCATTCGATCACAAATATAGTTAGTATCAAATTTGTAAATGACACTATCTGTCAATGCTCAAGTTTAGCGGAGAAATTTGCATTAAAAGGGAAGAATACGCACCCCCAAGGCTGGCAAAATTTTTTCATTTTCCAAATTTGCTGCACAAATACCAATTTGCACAAAACCTGTGAGTATACGTTGGGAGACCTCCATTGTCAGTCTTGAAAATCCCGGTGTAGCTTTAAAAACGCTTTCACATTTGGTATCAGTCAGAGTTCTGACTAGATTCACTTTTCAAAAGGGGCAACCTATTTTTAAGAGTGCGAACATACGTAGATTTCAGAATTATTTATATATGCTGAATATTTCTTTTCGCAGCACGATGGTCTTCCTGTCCGTCATGGTGGGTCTGGAGTGGAGTATAGACCGCATGGCGGGCTTAGAGGATCGCGACCTTGCGGCCGGGGTGACGTTGGGACACCGCATTTTGGCCTCCGTGGTGACCGACTCGATCAAGATTGTTCTCCAGATGACCATTTTTTTCGGTGCGATGACCGCCGTGTATGAAATGGAGGTTCACGGGTCATGGGTTTTGGCGGTAGGAATCGTTTTCATGGCGGCAATGGAAGGAGTTGCGATGGGTGAGGGGAAATTACATAGTCTCAACTTAAAAAGTGATAGTAGAATAGACGACTATATTAGGCAAGTTTTACGGAATTTCAAATTTATTTTTATTCCATTGAAAAGCCAGTTAAATTTCAAATAGAAAATATGTATTAAACTTGAAAATATATTCCTCCTGTGACCATGAAAAATTGGTCATGAGAGGAGAAAGCTCTATCAAAAATACGCTCGAAATTTATTGAAAAAGTGTATCATTCCCGGGTCAGAAATTTTTTTGTGACCCTGACACTTATATGGGGCTCAGAACAGACCTTTTCCTCAACCTAAATCAATATTTGGTGGTGAAGTTTAATGCGGTTCGAAAATGACAAGATCAAACCTAAAGTGCAAATGAAGTCAGAAATTTGGATTTTAATCCAGTTTTTCACGAATTTCGCTGTACTTGTTACTGTAGGGCCCTGCGTATAGGGTGGTAGATTTTCACCCAATATGGACTTGCTGAGGGGGTGTTCCTTCTTCACCAGGACGCTTATCAAATATTTTTTTAAACTATCTCCTCTCCTTAATCAAGGAAATTGGGCGTTTTTTGCTGAATTCCGCCGATTCCCGCCAAAACTGTGAATGGAGCCTGATAAGATGAAATTTTGACCTCTATTTTGTAATCAGCTAACCCTGAGACTATTTTACATAAAACGTAGTAGCTTTTTTGTTGAAATATGTTTCTGTCGTTAAGAAATGAACATTGGTAAACGGGTTGTTTTTTTTTTACCGTACCGTTTGAGGAGGGAGGTCGATTTTTTAGCCCTTGCTTAGGCCTGGAAAATCTGTAGCATGCGACGCTTTCTAATCTGAAAGACCATCATGTTAGGGTCACTTTTCAGTGCTAATCTGATCTCTGAAGTTAAAAGGCCATTTGTGTGGGCAAAGTCTCCGGCGTCGGATAGTGATTTTGTGCTAATCTGATGTTTAAAGCTTCGGACATCATTGTAGTCCTCCTTGACCTTGGGCAACCGGAACTTTTTTGTCATAGATAGCCACTGTCCCTAGGATTACTTTGATAGTTTGGGCAACCAGATCGTAGTTGTACTTGGACTGCTACACTACATCAAACATTGTGAATTTTTTTCTCATGCAAAAAGTGAAAAATTATTGCCGCGCGCGTGTAGGTAAGCTCCTCCTACTTTTAACCTAGTCACGTCAAGTAAAAACGGTCAACACCAATGATAGACACTGAATGTATGCACAAACCGCAACTGACCTTTTAATTTTATGTTGACCGGTTCAAAAACTACGCTCCACTATCACTTCTTATGGTAAGACTATGTATAAATTGGTTGTGCAAATAATTCACGAGAAATTTGGGGCAAATACTTGGCACAGGGCTGTTGTATTTATCTATTTACTTACTTAATTACCGAACTTAAAGTACTTAGTAATTGATTTTATTTTAATTACTTAAGATAATTTAAGATAATTACGTAGTTGAACTATTCACTCATGGCAATTAAAATAGGAAGTAGTTATGTAATTACTTAGCCAACAAGTGATTAATATGTACATAATTGAATAATCAATTAGTTTCATGGGTAATTAAACAGCCCTGCAATGGGGTGCCCAATAATACACTCTTATTCCCGTTAAATGTTAAAAACGGGTGTAACCCTTGAAAGGGGAATGCAACGTGTAAAACAAATCGTCAGTTTAGCGCGACATAATTTCTGGACGTCCCCTTACATATGTGTGTTTTTTACAGGCTGGATGATCGGAACTTTGCGAGATTCAGACATTGAAGCCATCGTTTGCATGGTGTTTATCGCCATTTATCAAACATTTGCGACAGGTACATAATTAGGTTGTAATGGGTAAGATCGTGTGCACTATTAAAAATAATGATAGCAGTTGTGAAAAGTAAGCGCATTTTGTATTTAAAAATAAGTAAGTTTTACTACATCCAAAGTAATTCTGAATGGATAAGTAGTAAATTTTGCACTGGATTTAGTATATTTACTTAATTTAAATTCGGCCTGCATTTAGGGAACGTTCTTATATTGGTCATAAAAAAAGTTTTATTCTAAGGATCCATCCACCCTTTTCTTATCATATTTACTCATGTTAAGCGTACCATAAGTGCCTTAAAATCATCCTTCCAACCTTCTTTATGACGTAATATACCGACGTTCCCTAAATTCTAAAAGTGTAACGATATTTTTGAGAATGTGGAATGAAAATCTGTGAAATTTTACCTATTTTAGGAGTATTCTTCTCTCAGGAAGTTGCATATGAGTCTTATCGTACCTATGTTTGCAACTGGTTGCCATCCACGTATCCGAACGAGGCTTTCAGATCCATAGTTTCGCGAGGGTGGGGCCTGGAAAACCCTCATGTGTCGAAGGGCTTCATCGCCGCGGCGAGTTGGACTTTGATTTCTATTATCATTGTACTTTTAGTCGAACGAACGAAACGGAAATAAATAAATTATTCACAATAATTGTTACCATGGGCGACTTATTTCACGATACATATTTGCAAAAAGTAGCAAAATATTTATTAATAATGGTATCTGTATTCAAGAACGTAACGTACCAGCCCACACAGCGAAATAATCCAAAATTGTCGGAAATAATTCCACGAGCACATTTTTAAAGAAATTTTTGCATATTCCGAGCTCTTGGGGGCCAAGGCCAAACCTATAAAAAAAATTGAAGAGCCACGCCCACTTTGGGTGTGGTTTTTTCCTAGCAGGGTTAGAGCCAAATGTCATGTCTAAAATTGTAGCTCATGCGATGGTACATCTCCAGTAAAAATTTCATCTAAATCCGTTCACAAACAAAAAAGAGATTCAATGGCGAAGCTCGGCGAAGTCAAAAGGTGACGACTTTAGGGGCGTGGTTCTCCGAAAGGGGCAAGTACAATACTCTGAAAATTATTGTACATTGTAGTCCCCAATGGAATCAACGTATTCCAAGAAAAACGGAGATCTTGAATCTGCCCCTTTCAAAGTTATAGCCCCGGGAACATTGGGAACATTCATGGCGAAATTGTCCAAAAAGGGTGAAATTTGACATGACGTATCGCAGTAAAAATCGATATCTAGCTTCAGCGAGGTCCAAAAAGTGGGTCGCAGGTGAAATTGACCCATGTAAGGGAGCCATGTCGACATGTCGATATTTCGACATGGAGCTAGAGAGCTTAAATTTAACACTAATACTCCCATCCCCTCCAAAATACATATTCAAACACTTTTGATCATGTCGACAACCCATGTCGATAGATATCGACCTTTAAATGTGCGTGTCGACCACGGCGTGTCGACACGATCAAAAGTGTTTGCGTATGTATTTTGGAGGGGATGGGAGTATTAGTGTTAAATTTAAGCTCTCTAGCTCCATGTCGAAATATCGACATGTCGACATGGCTCCCTTACATGGGTCAATTTCACCTGCGACCCACTTTTTGGACCTCGCTGAAGCTAGATATCGATTTTTACTGCGATACGTCATGTCAAATTTCACCCTTTTTGGACAATTTCGCCATGAATGTTCCCAATGTTCCCGGGGCTATAACTTTGAAAGGGGCAGATTCAAGATCTCCGTTTTTCTTGGAATACGTTGATTCCATTGGGGACTACAATGTACAATAATTTTCAGAGTATTGTACTTGCCCCTTTCGGAGAACCACGCCCCTAAAGTCGTCACCTTTTGACTTCGCCGAGCTTCGCCGAGCTTCGCCATTGAATCTCTTTTTTGTTTGTGAACGGATTTAGATGAAATTTTTACTGGAGATGTACCATCGCATGAGCTACAATTTTAGACATGACATTTGGCTCTAACCCTGCTAGGAAAAAACCACACCCAAAGTGGGCGTGGCTCTTCAATTTTTTTTATAGGTTTGGCCTTGGCCCCCAAGAGCTCGGAATATGCAAAAATTTCTTTAAAAATGTGCTCGTGGAATTATTTCCGACAATTTTGGATTATTTCGCTGTGTGCAGCCCCTGCGTCAATGGAACTCGGAGAAAATCATAATTTTCATTTCTTGTGAGGAAATGGAGCTGCATGCATGATTATTTATCGCATAAATTGGAACTGGATTCACCACCAAGTCAAACGGCTTTCACCCACGAAACTGAATACTTTTTATCCAATACTAGTCTATAAAGCCCGCATATGCGGGCCCTCTTCATAATGTACATTAAAGTTTCCTACTATGAAGATGTACAAAGTAGAAACTATTCGAGTTTTGCTTAAATTTTGTTTTTAAGTTTCTTAAGTTCCTCGTCGTACCGACAACATTTCTAATTTTCCATATTCGGGTGCGAATTCTGTCAAACGGAACACTCGAAGGGTAAAATATTTTCCCAAAATTGCATGTAGTTTAAATGTCCATTAAATATTCCACCCTTGAAATTCGCACCACCATAAATTTAAATTAACTTTTCTTATAGTAATATTCATGACCTGAAGCAATATGACAACTTAGGTATATTGAGCTAAATTTTGTAGTGGTGACCACGTCTTGATGTAACTGTTATTACTTGACCTGGCGAATAAAAAGGTGTGGCATTAATACTCTCCAAAAAATCATAAATACGTCTTGAGCATCCAATTTAATTTTACATAATAACACTGAAATAATTATTCATAATTAAAATATCATATTTAAATCATATAAATTATATAAATACACATACATAAATACACAAAATATTTATTTAAAATATCATATTTAAATCGCACTGTAATATAACATTATCATACAACGCATGCAATGCGGCGCGTGAAGTTGAGCATTCGTCGCATAACAAAGAGAAACTGGTAATCTCGTGGACCAACCACAAAATGGTGAGCTGCTCGCCGCGTGAAATATTTGTCAACATTGCTTGCTGGATCAGCAGACATTATTGTCAGTCCGCAAAATTTCCTTTGAACCTTCGGTTCTGTTTGCTTGCTGGATCAGCAGACAAAATTGTCAGTCTCCCAAATTTTTTTAAGGAACGATGGGTGCTGCTTGCTTGCTTATCGGCATATTATGCCACACCTCACGGAGCGAGCTGTCTGTGAATCCTCATTTGGATCCGAGCACCCGAGCAGTAAACAGCTCTCGCGATTTTAAGATTAGAATTGCTCAGAAATTTAAAAATTTTATTATAAAATTGAATTATAAAAACGAAAATGAACTCATCATCTTCATCAGTTGGACCTCCCTCGTCGACTACCTCAAAGGCGGTAAGTAATTGAAAAATTTGTTATGGTTTGACATAAAATACATTTATTTGATCCACCTAGCTCTGTTTAATTTGCGATGAATTGCCTGCATCGTACACAATCGCAGCGAACAATGATGCTGGGGATGAAACAAAACCCTGTGGCCATCTTTTTTGCCTACAATGTTTGATTAAACACGTGAATTCTTCAGTGAGTGGGGATGAGTTCACGTCGACACATCAACCCAGATGTCCCTTCTGTGTCCGGGATATTTGTGGCTTTTTGCCACTGGATTCTGCCGATTGTAAGTAACCATCTTCCTATATTACTAATTCTACTATTTACTGGCTAAAATCATAATTACTAATTATATTGTATAGCATCATTGCAACTAATTCGTCTAAAGGATTTCGACGGTACTATTGGGAATATTACAAACCCTTACACGGATGAAAAACTGATTGGAACTGTTTATCAAGGTAAAACTAATAATTTTCTTAACTTTACCGTCAATTCCTGTTGTACTTTTATTAATATAACTAATTGGAACTAATTTGTTATTTAGATTTGATCTACATGAGCATCCTTAGCAAGGAGGAAAAAATCCCTCCAGTAATCCCGTTCGAGAAGATGTCCCCCGTCCATGAGGAACCCAGCTGCCCACCTCATCAATATACTTGTGTTCAATGTGATCTGAACTTCCTGACCATTCAGGGAATTGTCAGACACGAAGAACGACATCATTAGCTGTCATCATCGGCGAACTTGGCTCTTCCTCTCCGAATTAGCTTTAGTATTCGCTTTTTAAATTTTATTTCGATTCGATTTATCAATTATTAGTATTCGTTTTTTAAATTTATTTAAAATTATTCTTTATTGTTCCATCAAAATTCAAAATTTTTAATTGTTATCCTTTAGTACCAAATTAGTTAAGTTCAAGTCAAAAACATGTAAATTAGTTTATCATTATTATTAGTACGTGTGCGTGGGTGGAAGTAGGGTGTTAATTATTATAATAGTTTTTAGTTATAATTTAAGGCAACGTATTTAAGGATAGGTTAGTATTTTTGTGGGAAAAGGGTAGCTCACCGATTATGCATTTAATCTTTTCGATCCCTCTTAATTTTTAATTTTACCCCCAATAATTTCAAAGGTCCGTCCCGTTAAATGCATGGTCGGTGGGCACAGGGAGGGCCCTCCTCTTCTGATTTATACCCTTTTGCAGTCGAGGCCACAAACAATGTGCATCCATTTTATGAACCACAAAAAGAATCCCATCCCTTTTTAATTAATAATTTTTTTAAATTTCTATATGTAAAACTTGGGCAAGTTCCATCCCCATTAAGTCCAGTTGTTCATAAAATAGATGCACAGTGTACCACGCACATGTTTATTTTATACTTTTATACATATTTTTATACAATAAAATATCAAAATTCCAATAAATTATCAAACTGTCATTTTTTCTCAAATCTTCTCAGTGTAACTCGGTGAACAAATTTATGTAAACTTGCACATTTCATACAACTCATTAGCAAGGTAGTACATCTCTGGTGATTAAATACAGGTACCCAATGTCATGTTACCGATAGACAATTACGACATAAACGGTATAAAACTTTATAGTTATTTGTTAGCAAAGATTATTACATTTTTGTCACAAATTCATCCAAGTAACAAACTTAATAGTTTCCTGATGTTCTCATAGGATGTCCAACCTTAATATTACAGCGACGACTAAATATAAGGGAGGTCATGCCGTTTTTCGAAACACTTGTATACGAATTATGCGTGTATCACTAACTAAGATTGAAGAAGGTTAAAATGACATATTGTATGTAGAATTTGTTTTTTTGACACAACGGGCTCAGTCTTACAATCATTGCCCAGTTGTTGTGCTATTATAATTTATTTTGAGTATCATTTCGTTTTATTTCTGGAGTATGTCCTTAAAGACAACATTCCTCGTGAATACCTTATTGGAATTTTCTAATAATTTTCCATGTTCAGCCGTATTTCGTACATAAACTTTTACGTCACATGATCGCCTAACTCTTGAAAATGCAACGTAAAGTTGCCCGTGACTGAACACTGGAGTGGCCAAATAGATTCCAACCTTGTCCAAAGTTTGACCCTGGGACTTATTAATAGTCATGGCAAATGCCAGCTTAATTGGGAATTGTCGTCTTCTTAGGCGAAATGGAAGATCAGAATCTGTTATAAGATCAATTCTAGGGATAAAGACAATGTTTCCTTTAGCGGATCCTGTAATTACCTTGGCAATAATTAAGTTTGGCTTTAGTTCAGCAACAACTAATCGTGTTCCATTGCACAATCCACGTTTTGTATTCAAATTTCTTAGCAGCATTATCAGGGAACCAACTTTCAATTTTAATTCATGTGATGCTGATCCAGACGGATTTAAAGTATTCAGAAATTCCGTAGGGTAATCATCTTTATCAGAATCTTCATCTGTCATAATTGAGTCTGTACTTAAATATGTCTTACATTCTCCTTGCAAAATGTTCAATACTTGCTCGTTTATTTTATCAACTTCTGCATTAGTCGGGCATAAAATCGCCATTTTTGAAAATTGCTCTACATTTTCAAGAGTTAGAGAATCACCAAAAATATCTTTAATAATGTTCTCGGACGCCAACATTGCTTCTGGAATTTCTATTAAACTATCATGTAATCCATCTATATTTGTCAATTCCCCGTTACCAAGTTTAATTAGCCAATCACTGTATTCCTTATCAAGCGATCTGACATTATTGTTTAATTTCAAAATTTGAAATTTCCTCCAAAGGTGGCTAAATTTTATGCTTGCCTGGACAATTGCGACAGCATCACCGTGTGGGATTATTGGCAATGTTTGCCTAAAATCACCTCCGAGGAGTAAAACTTTTCCTCCAAATGGAAGATCATTTCCCATAATTTCTTTCAGCAGTCTATCAATGCAATGCAAAGCATGAACTGATGCCATTGTTGACTCATCCCAAATCAGTAGCTTTGCGGTCCGAATTAACTTCGCATCATTTGTAGTCATCTCTATTGATGAAACAGATGTTTCATTTAAATTAAGTGGCAGTTTGTATTGGGAATGGTAAGTCCGTCCTCCCTTTAGTAAATTAGCCGCGATTCCTGTTGATGCGACAGGTAATGCTATCTCACCTTTACCCCTAATGTAGCTTAAAAGTGTTTTATATAGGTAAGTTTTCCCACTTCCACCAGGGCCGTCAAGGAAGAAACATTTCTCAACAGGGTCGTCAGAGTTCATTGAGTGTTCTATTGCCTCAAATGCATTCAGTTGTTCTTCTCTCAATGTTGATTTAAGATCTTCTGCGATGCCACGTTCTATCTCAATATCTACAAAATCATTTAAATTCAGTGGTAGATATGAGGGGGGGTCTCTTAGATTGTAATCAGAACACTTTTTTCCGTGTGTAATAAGTGTTTCTGAAATATCTCTAAGTGCATATGACTCACACATGTTACACTCTGCGTCAGGTGGATGACCGTGAACTCTTACAAAATCCTCAGTAAGATTTTCTTTATGTTCAATCCATAAGCCTGTCATGTCGGAGGTCTCTCCAAATACACAAATATATGCAAAAAGTTCTCGAAGTTGACGTGGCATTGATGCATGAGCAGCATCGTTTAATGTATCATTCCAGACTGTTTGATCAAAAATCAATCCTCGAGCCTTAGCCGCTTCATAAAAGGTATTGTAAACATGTCCTTGATATTTAAGAAGGTCGTTATAACTTGTTGGTCCTGCTACATGAAGTAACAGTAACCTCAAAAAATATCTCTCACCGTCTGTCATACTCACAGAATACAGACGTCCTATAACTTTGTCAGTGTGTCCATCTTTACGACGAACCCATTTGTTTTTTGCATTAAATACATAATACTCTGGAATTTCTGCATACTTGTATTGCCTGGCTTCCGGATCATGGGTGTTTAGCTCGAAGTATGCAGTTAACGTGGAGTGTGTATTTTCTGCTTTTTGGATTGCTTCTTGGATTCTATTTGGATCGAATGTCACTTGTTTTTGCTCCGGTAATTCAACCTTTAATCTCGATATAGAATGGGTTCTATCTTGCATAGGGAATCTGAAAATTCTCCAGGCGGCTTCAGGAGGACTGACATATCTTGAATCCACATGTGTCTTAATCTCATCTATTCGTAATTCAACTTTTGCACAATCGTGACCCTTGTAAGCGTATTTGAATAAATACTTTACGCTTCTAATAGATGCGCAAATTTCAACGTTGATATGACAATTGTATTTTAAGCTTAAGTATGGGTTATATGGAACTACCCATCTATTGTCAATTTCAATATTTTTATTAGTCACAACTGGTACTAAATTGCGTCGCCGGTAAAACGGATATCCGTTAACGTTAGCTAAAGTTTCATGCTGAAATGCTTTCGGAAAACCTTTTGAACATTTCCCGGCCACCAGACATGGTGATTTTGAATTAATATTATCACACGGGCCGTGAATCATATTTGTTGTAACAACATCATATAACCTTGGATGTGTTTCTTTATTAGGTATTTCGGCACATACAATCTTATCTATGAGTTCGACTGTTTTTGGCTTATCACTATCTTTTAGGATTATAAGAATATGAGCATGAGGGAGACCGCGTTTTTGAAATTCAATTACATGTACTTTGGCAAGTACGTGTCCAAGGACACATTTTTTTGTTAAATCCTCAAGCATTGATTTCAATTTAATATTAAATACCCTTGTTACTAAATCCGGTCTGTTTTCAGGTTTTTGTCCATCTTTCAAATTGGTAGTAATTTCTATCCATTTGGGGTTGCACGTCATCGTAATAAATAAGTCTGGTTTGCCAAATTTTCTTACGATTGACATCGCATCTTGATAGTTTTGATTCATATTTCTTCGGCTACCTTGAAAAGTCGAAGGTAAAATTATTGGTCTTCCGGGAACCAATCCATCTTGTTCTGCGGCAGAGTCTATAAAGTCAACCAATGCGTCATAGTTACTTGCTCTAAGTTTGCTTTGATTTTGCCTGACAAAATTAAGGTCATTTGCTTCGGCTTTAACATATGCATCGACAAAGTACTGTTGAGTTAGCTTTCCGGCACTTAAAAATGGATTAAATGTTTCACGAATTGAAAATAGGTATGAGTAATACATTTTTAGCGTTACGCGTTTTCTACAGTTTGTATTAATTTTTGCTGAGTTAGACGGCACAGATAGAGCTAAGTCCTCTCCCCATCCTTGCTCCCCAGATGGGTATAGAATAGGATAGGTCAGAGCATCAAGGTTTTTATTTAAAATACTAATTCGTTTTGTCTTTGGGGAATCATCGCCGGTTGATTTTAAATGAATAAGTAAATCTCTTTCAAGTGGTGGCTCGCCATCGGTATTGCTGAAAATTATTGCAACTTCATTACATGTCTGAATATTGTATCGACGTTTGTCAAGATTTCGGTCATTAACAATAGCCATTGTAACTTCTTTGGCCAAATATTCTTCGCTTTGCATTCTAATCTTCTCCTCCTTTTCGAATTCATGAAGCATTTTGTATGCTCTGGCAAACGGATTATCTTTCATAATATCATACAGGTTAGACATCACATGATTTTTGCAGGCAACATTGGATGGCTCGTTCAATCTTCGTCGGTTTGCCTCATCGGGATCCAGTATATACAATTGGGCGTACTTTCGTGGTTCGCCATCATCGGGGTGCAAAGTCCCGGTTCTGTGATAGATCTGACCATGGATTCGATAACAGTACGGACCGTATCCAGGTGGAGCTTTAATTTGTGCTCCAACAGATGCAAATGCAAATGCATTATTGTAGGATCTTATATTTTCCATGAAATTTTTGGAATCAGGATCCTGCCCTATTAGAAGTCGTTTTATGTACTCATGCGTTGCGAACGTAGGAATTTTAACCTTTCCTTTGTTGCAACACACGGTAAACTTTTTATCAGTTGGTCTTTCATTAGCAAAATGTTTGGCATTGCAAAATTCACAGAGGACATTCATTTCCCCCATAGTGTGTAACTCCACCATACTTTCCTCTAAATTATCAACTATGGCCAATCTTACTGTCATCTGTAGCATACGATATGAAGTATTGGCACGATTTGTGCGCACTTGTTGTAATCTCTCCTCTCTGTCTATGGCAGTTTCAAGTTGGCGTCGAGCGAAATTTCGTTGATTATCTTCAATTCGTCGTCGAATTGTCTCTTGTTCGGTTTCTGCCAATCTCACTTCAGAAATTCGTTGTGCATTTACTAAGCAACGGGCCAACCTTTCCTCGTCGGGTTCTGCCAATCGCCTTTCAAAAGTTCGTTGAGCATTCGATAAGCAGCGCGCTGACCTTTCTTCGTCGGTTTCTCCCAATCGCCTTTTAGAAGTTCTTTGAGCATTCGCTAAGCAGCGTGCTGACCTTTCTTCGTCGGTTTCTCCCAATCGCCTTTCAGAAGTTCGTTGAGCATTCGCTAAGCAACGTGTCGACTTTTCCTCGTCGGTTTCTGCCAATCTCCTTACAGAATTTCGTTGCGCATTCGACAAACAGCGTGCTGACCTTTCCGCTTCTGTCTCTCCCAACCTCCTTTCATAAGTCCGTTGCGCATTAGTCAAGCAACGTGCCGATCTTTCCTCTTCGGTCTCAGTCAATCGTCTATCAGAGATTCGTCGGGCATTAGCTTCTCTCCGAAGTGATGCTTGCGACTCAGTCTCTCCTGGCCTTCGCCGTAACATCATAGGAGTCTCAGTTTCCGAATCAGATGTTAATTCAAAATCATCTCTGCAATCCAAACGTTGCTTTTTCCGGACCATCCTCTATAAATGCCAACTTAGGCTCAAAGTTGCCAAAAATGGCTCAAGTATTTGCCACTTAGGGCTCAGAATGTGTCTACGAATGGATCACTAAACAATAAATATGCTGAATGGGTAGTGCCAACTTAGGGCAGAAAATAAGTCGACTTAGGACTGTAACCTGCCTGAATTGCACAGCAGAATTTACGGCTTGGATGTCTATGAACAAAATAAAAAAATACATTTTTAAAGATAAAGTTTCCATAGATAATCTTTCCAAACAATATTCAAACAAATCTTCAGCTAAATTACCAAATATGAATTTATAATAAACTGGAAATTCTAATAATGAAGTTAAGTTCTTTTTTAATTATTGCGTTCAAATATTCAACACAAAATAAATTTGCAAGGATAGTGCAATTTGGGCAACCGCATTTGTCGATAGTACCCGGCGAACTGATGAACAGTATCTTGCTGCTACCACTTTTATTAATTCAACTTTACGTTAACGGAATGTCCAGGAAATACAAAGGGTGGGATGGAAGGGTGTGAAGTCGCCTATCTCAACCATGTTAAAATTCCTGTGCAGTAGCGTCCCTTAACAACGTTGAACGTTTCCCTAAAAACGTTTTTGCAAACTGTCAACAGGAATATCATGCCTTGTAGTTAAATTGTCCATATACATTACTGGATAGGCAAAAACGTTGTCAAACGTTGTGACCCGGCTGCCACCTAGTGATAATCAGATACAAATGTCGGCCGTTATACGTAGAGTCCACGTATAACGGATAGCCAATCACACAACTTTAAACTTGGTTGTCACTACCAGCCCTATCCTGTAATGTATAATGAACATTGTAAGATAGGTCAAACCTATTTTCCTATCTTGCAATGATAAATTACCAACATTACTATCCTGTTTGAAACGTTTTTCCTACGTCGTACTGAGACAATAAAAAGGCAAGTAGCAGTTTTATGGTCATCAGTCCTTGGTAAACTGTCATCCCGGCTGCACAATTTTTGCAGTTACCTTTTGTAAATTTTACGGAGTTTTCAATTTATTTAAAATAATGGCTTATAGAGGCGCTTCCGAATTTTCTCCAAACGCTGTCGCCGCTGGTTGGGACATGTCCCCTACACGACTTTTAAAGGCGCCGAATGATCGATTTTGTGTTCATTGTGGACTTGTGATTCGGGGTCAGGCAATCGACAAACCTGGTAATAATATTTCACTAATCATCTAACATTCTTTTTTTAGTCTAGTATTTAATTATCTGATAATTAAGTTTCATATTTAGAAAATAAATGTCTATAATCATTATGTTAACGTTAAAAATTTTATTTTTTTCAGCTGTGTGTCCGCACAAAAATTGCAAGCAAGCCTTGATCTTCAGGAACAACCAATTTGATTCCGTCAGCAAATGGGGACGCTGCCGACAATGTGACAGCTTTACTCATGGTATGTTAAACTTTATGTTACTGAATATTAAAAAGTTGGATTAAATTCACCGGTTAGCAAACTATTTGTCATTGTCTCCTTATATTTGTAATTTCATTACAGGCGATTTTCCATACTGCCAATCCTGTGGAACAGTTAATCGAGATGCACTATCCCGAAAACGTCGTTTTGAACAAATTGAATTCAAGAAGCAGCAACTTGAAGCCAAGCGACTTAAAGAGGAAAATGAAGCTTTAAAGAAGCAACATCTGGACCCTGATTTCTTGCTGTGGAAAGAAATGAAGAAGGCAGAGGAAGAACAGAAGAAAATGGAGGAGGAGGCCGCAGCTGAAGCTGAACAGGTTGCCGCCGCCAAGATGTTGGAGGAATCTCTTCTACGGGATGATGGCGACGAAGAAATGAAGGAAGGAAGTGGCAAATTAGTAAAATAATAAAATCTTAAAGGAGCTTTTTAAGTTATTATTCTTAAGTTTAATTAATTCTGAGCTGAGTTTAAAAATTTTCAAACATATTTTTTGTTTTAGTTATTTAAGTATCCAAGTTTGTGTTTATTTTAAAGTTCCTTACTTACAATGCATAACTTTCTTAATGAAATAATTTTATTGAATAAAGCACTATTGAAAAATTAAAACCAAACTTGAATTTGTCATAAATTAATTTTTTCAATTAATAGCATTAAATACATTAATACTTCTAAAACTATTTCACCAGTCAAAACAAAATACTCAAGACTTAATAAATCTTAAGACAGAGAATTTAATAGTCAGGGCCTTGTGAGACTACCAATCCGAAGCGGTAACTTCAAACATTAGCATTTGTGGTTGGCATGAATACGTCATAAAAACGTTTTCAAATAATGTGTTATTCATACATATTAAAATGCGTTGTTTTTTAATTGACGCCTTCATGATTCAGAGGGTGTGGTAAGGAAACGCGACCCGTGGCATAATCCAGGAGGTTTGGTCAGGTCACGCGACACGGCATAATTCAGGGGGTGTGGTCAGGTCACGGGGCATAACTCAGGGTGTGTGGTCAGGTCACGGGGCATAACTCAGGGGGTGTGGTCAGGTCACGGGGCATAACTCAGGGGGTGTGGTCAGGTCACGGGACATAACTCAGGGGGTGTGGTCAGGTCACGGGACATAACTCAGGGGGTGTGGTCAGGTCACGGGGCATAACTCAGGGGGTGTGGTCAGGTCACGGGACATAACTCAGGGGGTGTGGTCAGGTCACGGGGCATAACTCAGGGGGTGTGGTCAGGTCACGGGACATAACTCAGGGTGTGTGGTCAGGTCACGGGGCATAACTCAGGGGGTGTGGTCAGGTCACGGGGCATAACTCAGGGGGTGTGGTCAGGTCACGGGGCATAACTCAGGGGGTGTGGTCAGGTCACGGGACATAACTCAGGGGGTGTGGTCAGGTCACGGGGCATAACTCAGGGGGTGTGGTCAGGTCACGGGAAATAACTCAGGGGGTGTGGTCAGGTCACGGGGCATAACTCAGGGGGTGTGGTCAGGTCACAACCGTAAGGTAAGGTAACGACACGTGGCGTAATGTACGGGTTATCTGTCAGTATGTGTTAATTGATAACATGGAAGCATGGGTAACGTGAGACTGTCATTGAGTGACGCGCTCAGTTCAAAAAAGCACACACACATACACACACACACACACACAGAGAACTCGGGGCTATTAGTATTACTGATTATGCCCCTCTCATTGTGCTCTTATTAAAGGGTGAAGTGAATCGAAATCCCTTTATGGAAAATGTCTCGTCTGTCCGTCCGTCCGTATCAACGATATGCTTATGTAGAACGGGTTCGAATTTCAACATGCGGTTTTCGCTAACGTGTTTCTAATTTTTTGGGATGGGATAGGTTCGAAGATAGGCGTTGTGAGTAACAAGGTCACGGTGATGACGCCAACGGTTAAATATATGCTCGGTACTAAAGTTTTGCCGTATCCGTAGCAAATTGTACGGACCCGGTATAATTTTAATACCAAGCGGTAGCAACTTTAATACCGATATATCAAGAGTCTTGATATATCGGTATAGCGGAGGTCTTGATTCAAGACCTACGCTACCATACCAGATTTTTAACATTGTACAATTAGAAGGTTACTCTGGGCCTTCGACCGGTCAAAGTGACAAAATGATATTACAAAACATAAGATTTTGTTTCGCCACTTTTCTAAGTACATGCATTCTTTACGTGGAAGGATTTATGTATTTATTCTTGTCGATAAGTTTTAGATGTTGCGTAAATTTAGAAAATTATGTAATTACAAAATAATGAATGTTTTATAAATGCAACAAATTTATGGACATAAAAAATGAGTGTATTTGATCGTATCCTAATGTTTGTACTCAGTACGTAATTCTAGTCGTTCCTTTCATGGCGTGGCTGCAGCTGCAAATGTGCTGTTCCTAAACAGAGAAAGTAGATTTAAAAAAATAAAAATTAGCATTATAAAAGATCACAAATAAATAAAATAAATCAAAAATCAAATAGATGTATAAAAAAGTAAAATTTGTACTACGCGTTACGAAGTCGGTTCATTATTTGCTTATATTTGAGTAATAATTGTATATAATTGTTGGAACTTACCGTTTTTCCAGAAATGTCGCCATTTCGTTGAGGAAGTTGACCCATTTTGACCTCACTTCCGGATCTCCTCCCCCCTCAGACGGGGGCGATATCGACCAGAGACGAACCGTCGCCAGGTAAACGTCCAACTCGTTGTAGGATGATGTCTAAAAACATCACGAGAAAAAAAACACGTGGAAAATTTTCAGAAATCAGTACTATTTTAGTAATTTTTAGGTTTTGAAAATTTTAGACAAGCTTGTACTCAGAAATTTGATTGATGGAATTCGGTGAGTTTTTTTAAATTAGTTTCTATAAGTTTCAATTTTTCTGAAGGCTTCTTAAGCTTGAGATCTCCTCCTTCATAAACTTTCAAAATCTGAAGTCGACTGAAGTGAATATTTTTTATTTGAAACGATCTGCCACGCAAATTTGTAGGGAAAAATTTTCAAAATAAATTCCTCGAGTCGAGAAATTAAAAACTTGGGATCACTCATTTACATAGGAATTGATAACTAATCGTGACAATTATTACATGGAAATCTGTAAATTTTGACTCACTCCTGGGCTCTGGGAAGTTAAATATTTAAAAATTCTGATGGCAAATTTCTAGGGAAAGTTGTTGCAATTTTTTAAAAATTTACACTCCAGATTTTAACAGGTTTTAAAGGAGGTAATCTCAAGTTTAAGAAAGCTCCAACAAATTTGGAACTTATCGAATATGGCTTTAAAAACTCACCGTAAATCAAAGAAATTGACTATGAATTTGTCTTACGGAATTTTGAAATAAATTCCCGGAGTGTAGAAAGGTATATTTTTGGTAATACATACATATGTTCTCAACTACTAAATACTTAATATAGAATTTAAACTATAAATTGTCCACTCACATTTTTAGCCTCCTGGTTATTCATCTTAGAATCCAAATCTTCCAACAAACTGGATAAATACGTGGCAAAATTGCCCCCCTGTGGTCCCCTTTGGGTGGCAGGGAGGTTCCTCCATTTCATGGAAAATACGACGTCGAAATTCACTCTTTCATTAACTGGACCCAATTGGAGAGAAAATCTGTCCGAGAAGGTCCACGTGTCAAAGGCGGCATCTAAAACAAAAAAATTTGACATGACATCAAAAAGCACAACTATAAAAAGTTGATTCCTTCGAGTTAAGGGACGTTCATAAATTACGGAACGAAGAATTGCGATTTTATAGTGCTCCCACCCCTTTAACATTTGTAACGTGGGCACGATGTCATTGAAGCGTTTGCCCCCCACCCCAATCTCGCGTTACATAATTTGTGAATGCACCCCTAACCAGGTCGTCGAATTAATTTCATTCCCGAAATAGTAAGCATCGATGAAATATTTAAGAACAAGTTGTGAATTTGCATGTACAAAATGAATAAATAGTTTCCCTAAAAATCACGGAATTGGATATTAACCTCTTAACAACGAAGTACACACATTTGTGTAGTATTTTATTTCTTCGTTGACGACGAAATACACAAATGTCTGTACTGCAGAAATTTCCTTGACACCAAAATTTATTTAAAAAAAGAATATTTCTTCGGTATTTTGTGGAAAGCTCGATGGTGAAAAGTGGATTTTTTCGATATTTTTCACCCAAGATTTTGGAATTTTCCCTATACCGACCGATGTTAAAAAGTGGATTTTTGGTGTTTTTCGTCAAAAACTCGAATATTGAAAACTGGTGGAAAATTTTAATGGGTTGCTATCAGGTATAATTATGAAATCAAAATCGTACCGAAGGGAAATTTTATTAAAAAATTAGGAGCCCGAAAGAGGGACGAACATACTCCGAGAGAAAATTAATTGGTCTCTGCACAAGTAAATCCCTCTTGCTTGATATTTAACTCTGTGAAAAAAAACTCACCCTGAACCCAGCCGTATACGCAATCAGCTAGGTAAATTAGGCCGAAAACTATTAACGCTGTCTGCACCAAATCGCGGGGAAGTTCTCTCCGCAAAGTTTCCTTCTCCAGAGAGGACTTGGTTTTCGAAATCCGCTTTAATCTGACGTTGACGTATATGGCGGACCCCATCAACCCGATGAAAAATACGAACGGGCTGAACACCTTGACCTCGAAGGGGACGTTGCGTGCTCTCTCGTGACCTGCAGGGTGGCTCAGGATCCGTAATTTTGAATGGTAATCTTCATCCCTCCAGGGTCCAGTGATTTCCTAAATTTTGGCAGTATTTTACTAAATCTTTTCAAATTTGTGTAATTTGTAATTAATTTCCCGATGGGAAATTGAGATATTTTTTATAGCAAAATTTGATCTATAACGTTCCCTTGTATGTGGGTTTTGAATTTGAGAACTGTTCATTAAAAAAAAATGGTTTTATCGGATATAAAATCCATAATTTTTAGGTTTCAAAAGTAAAGAGATAAGAATTATGGATTTTAACTTCCATTATAAAATAGAAATAAATATTAGAGGGAAAAAGTAAATATTTTTCAAGTAAACTTCATAACTCAAAGAGGGGTGGGTGTCCAAAAAAATTGGCGTTACGAAATTATTGCTTACCAACGTCTTTTTAGGGAAGAAAATATCAAACTCTATCCTCTCAACATTGTAAACCCAAAACTTGACAAGTATTAGATTTAACAAAAATTTTACATATTTAGACAAAATGCATTGTAATTAGTTTCAAAATTATAATTTGTATATCTATATTATTGGAGTGTGGAGACTCAAAAATTCAAATTCCACAAATAAGGGAACGTTAACCCATTTGATCTGGTTTTTAATACGTGAAAGAGAAAACAAATTGTATAGATTATGAATTCACCTTTTCATTTAATCCTGGAGTGAAACGATGAGACGGGTTATCTTTCTCCGCCGTTGCGGCTTCACTTATCACTAAAATTAATGCAATTAATTTCGAATTCATCTTGAATCTGGGAGTATTTATTGTTTTTTATTCAAAGATGACAATAATTTGGATAAACAGTAGATTTGTTAAAGTTAAGCGAGAGCAACTACGGGTCGGTTTTGAAACAGCACGTTTTACGAATGAAGCGGACCGTGCAAACTTACCGGACGCTGTTATCTTTAAGCAAAATCGGTCTTGATTCATACTTTAATGGAAGAGCTTGGATAAAAGATGAACATAATTCGCATAACTTACTCACTTTAATCAACGTGTTGTCCTTGCTAGGGGAACGTCCATATAATACGTCATAAAAGGGGTGGTTTTGGGCCGACTACTCGTGTTAAGCCTATCATGATTTGGATAGAGAAACGGTTGGTAAAACACTGTACGCTGCACTGTTTTTCCGATGACGTAATATATGGACGTTCACTTATATCTACATATGTACGAATATCATCTTAGGAACCAAAAACATACCTTTTATATTCACAAGATTTTGTGAGTTGTTAAGCACAAATCTTCTCAAGCTTCGTAAAAAGTTTACTAAGTTTACGTGGTTACGAAGCCTGACCTGAATTGCATCAATGTCACGAACGTTATACGATTTTTGTGAAGCTTGACTGACTTCATGTTTTTTTCCTTTCGTAAATTATTTTATGACAATATCTAATTGTTAGGTATGAAGAAATAATGAATGAATGCTCTCAAAGTTAATAAATAAATACATACACTGCTAGAAATCTGAATGGTATAGTCACGCAGGGATTGGTATCTTGGTACTAAAGCTGCTACCGTTTGGTACTAGAATTATACTGGTTTGTGAAAAATTGCTACTGGTACGGTTCATAAAACCAGTGAGATAGGCCACATCTAATTTCATCTTATCGCCTGGTGAGATGAGATGAAACCTATATAAATGAGTTGAGACGAATGAATTGCATACATGTAAATTTGCATCGCTCCCATGTAAATATATCGAAATGCTTAATGTATGCATGTATATAGCAGCCTCTTTTACAAGAAATTTATAAATTTCTCCTTTCCGGTTATGAAAATCAATACCATAGTCAATACCAAATGTGGTGGTATCGCGCTAAAACATGAAAGGATGACTTATCCATTAATGACAAAAGAATTTTACTCTATATCAAACATTTTTAGTTAGCATTTAATGTCACTAGGGAACGTTCATATATAACGTTATCAGACAAGCCGATTTCTAAACCACCCACCCACCTCCTCCTTATCCTATTCATGTTAATCTGAACACGAGTAAGATAAGCGACCCAAAACCAAACCATACCAACCTTTTTTATGACGAAATATATGGAAGTTCCCTTAAGATTAGCTGGAATTTTGTATAGGTATGTAACTTATGTACATAAAAGAATACATTTATTTGTAAACTCTTAAAAATGATGTTGCCCTTTAAATGTACCCCGAAGTCTAATTTAAGTTAGCTGGCCGACATAAATGCAGAGTTAATCTTGCTCTTTATCAAACTTACTGCAGATTTTGTAGACTTCTTAATGTAAAATATGGACTGCATTTACTTTTCGAATGAGCAACATTATTTTTAAGAGTGAGTGTGCATAAATATTTATGCATCCCTTTAAATGTTTTCGTCTTATCCGTTCAATTTCTTCGAATTTAATGTATGTACATATGCACTGGCCGCGGAAGCGGTGGGGGGTATCGGAGAACATTAACATTGTCGGATGGGAGGGGGGAGGCGTTTATGGACGGATGATGGGGACGTGAAATAACCGTGAACACATTGTCCCTCTGTGTCCCAACGATTCCGCGGCAACTGCTGTGCATATGTTTAGTTCATAACTTGCAGGTCATGAATTATTCCAAGAATGGGCTTTGTTGGTGGCATAAGTTATTCAGATATAGCATTGAATTTGGCCGGATTTTATCCAGTTTCGGGTATTGTTTTTCATTTAGGGCTCTCGCCATGGGAAGTTGATCACTTGGTAGTTTCGTACAGGAGCGGTCGAAAAATAGGTTTTGAAATCTGAAATTGTTGTGGAATACGCCAAATATATCTAGCCACATGCCACAAAAGTTTCATAAGTTTTCATTGGAAAACAAATTTCGTACACCACTTCAAAGCGAAGAACTCGCGAAATGAGTTTTTCGTAAGTGCCAAAATTTGAGATACAGAGACTCGAAGAAGACTTGGCTACGTTTCATCAGAGAAGGGTGTGGCCGTACAAAAATTAACACATACATACAAAAGTATGGAGAATCCGAAAATGTCAACTTCAAATAACTACAATTTGAAGAAACCATCATATTGACCCCTCAAAAGTTAAAAATGATTCAATCATTTTTTGAAAATTATCCATCCACGTCGGTGCCTGATGCGGCCATGAAGTCAAAGATTAATACAAACCACTTGTATAATATTAATGCCTATAAAGTGGGGGTCAAAGCGTATGCAACGAAATCTCCAGGAAAACATACAGGAGCTGAAGAAAAAATGGTAATCGCACGATCTCCGAAGCTTTACAACAAAATCTCACCAAAAAAGTTAGTCACCGACGACGAGTCCTACGCCCTTAAAAATGTGACAGAAACTCTGGGAATGGAATTTTTTCATGGCAAATATATGTCTCAAGTGAAAACCAAAGAGAAATTAAAATTTTGTTAAAAATTTCTCACGAATTTTCCGATTCGGCTGGCATCAAAATGCACTGTGATCAAATGGGAGTTTGATTTTGAAAAATGAAAACCTTCCAAGTTTCCGTTATCTTCGCCCTATCGAAACATTTTGGACTCTACGCACGAAGTAATACTCCCAGCTTTGGGAAACAGTCGTTGATTCAAGCAAATTTTGGTTCTGGTAGCAGAAAATTAACAACGAATTTGCAAAGTCTTCCGAAAAATTAGTAATGATGGACATTATGAAAAATGTTAAATATGAGATGGATAATATACTTATTTCTTATTTGTTCGCGGATCTGGGTAGTCAAATCTATTTATAATATTCTACACAAATTTGAGATTTCTGGAATCATTTTTTGACTACTTGTGTCCCAAATTGCTAGTGATCAACTTCCCATGGCGAGAGCCCTACCACACAGGTTTCTGTATATGTATGCGTTTGCTATTTTTTGCACAAAGAACAATAAAGTTCCTAAAAAATGAATTCGCTATTTTTCACAGTAAACGGTAAATTTGCTAAAAAGCGAACTCGTTTTTTTTACAATAAGCAATACCCTTCCTAAAAAGTAAATTCGCTATAACTTGAAATGCGATTTTAGACATTCACATTTAAAAACGACAAGAACCTGGGGTAGAGTGAGATTTAAAAAAATCTATGACGGACTTATCTATAAAATCTTAAAATATCAGTAAACCTTATCCAGTGAAAATGGTGGTAACTCCGTTAATGTGGAAATCCCTGGATAATTTTGCCATCGCATTCAAACACTTGTGGACCTGGCCGTTGGAATGGTCCCTTAAGGACCAGACACTCATCCACAATTCGTACTCCCTTAAAAAACTCTGGGTTTGGACCTTCTCCATCTTTTTCAGTCTTACGACAGCCTTTGTCGGTTTTATAGTTACGATGTCCCAACTCTTCGCGAAAGGCGACACAATACCGTTGCATCACCTTCTCAATTTCTCATAGTGGTGGGTTCTAGCAATACCTGTTCACATTCATTAATTCATTCATTGAATACATATATAGAGCGAAAAAAATATTCATTAATCATTCGCTAAACTCGTCAATCATGTCTGAGTGAATAATTATTTCGAAATTTTTGAATGAATGAATATTGAATAAATATGTATGTATATTCATGAAGAATGAATGAATAATTTCATTCATTCTTCATTTTTCACGCTATGCTTGATACATCGGGTAGATTAAAGAATCAAATAATAAGGCGAATTTGAGATAAAATGGGTAAAAAGTATAATGAATAAATATCCATTAATTATTCTCTAAATTCATGGATAATGAGTAAAATATCTACTTACAATGGAGGTCTCCCAACGTATGCTCACAGATTTGGACGAAATTAGCGTCAATCGATCACACATATAATTAGTATGAAATATGCAAATGAAACTATCTGCCAATGCTCAAGTTTTGCGGAGATTTTTGCATAAAAAGAGGAGAAAACGCACCCCTAAGGCTGGCATATTTTTCATTTTCCGAATTTTCTGCACAATTTTCCTGTTTCGGATGCAAATATCTCCGCCAAACTCGCGCATTGGCAGATAGTTTCATTCGCATATTTCAAACTAATTATATGTGTGATCGATTGACACTAGTTTGGTCCAAATCTGTGTGCATACGTTGGGAGACCTCCATTGTTAGTTAAAACAAATTTAATGAATGAAAACTGAATACATGTATTGTTTATTCAAATTCGTTAATAATGAATGAATCCCCAATTTTCGACAAATAATTAATGACTGAATATGTATTCCCATTTTTAAATTGAATGAACTCTAAATGAACTAAAACTTTCTGAACAGGTGCTCGCCATGGGCCTCTCCGTTTTCGGCGTTGTTCTCGAAACAGCAATTCTTCTCCTGGCAAAAGACACGGTACGATCGTTCAACGGGCTCCGAATCTGGGATGGAAAACTGAAATCTCGTACCAAAACTGGAAACGATTCCCCCGAAAAACTTGACATTTTAGGAATTTCTTTAAACATTATCGCCAAAATTGTTGGAGTATACCCCTATTTTTTAATCCTATTTGGCGGTATTTTCGAAGTGGATCCATTCTCCGTTCTGTATAAACATTTAGTCGCTCCAAATCTTGGCAGGGAGTTCAAAATTAGCTTGAAATTGGTATTCACCTTCCTCCGACTCAACCAAATATTCCCCACGATTCAAACCTGTCACGTCTGCGCATGCTTCACCTGCATCGCAACGGTCGGTGCGCACCTGCTTCTGAGCAATATTGCGCATTTGGTGGATAAGGTTGATCAAAATTTAAGTAAAAAACACGGCGCGAATTCTGAAACGCTGTCCGAAACTTTAGCGATCTACTCCGTTTTAGAAATCTGTTTAATCTTATCGTTTGACGTTATCAATTCCTGTATTCTCGTTTTGATGGGGTTTGCCTTCGTTTTTTGCGTTGCTGCCAATTTTATTTCGATCAAAATGTACGACACTGTTCCGATGCCGTTGTACCTTTATTTTCCCTCGATCAGTGTGCTGATGCCGGGCATGATAAAAATTTTGCTGCCGATGGCCATCAAGATTTATGAGGGGGCGAAGGTGTTGAATGGCAAGTGGAAGGTGCTCGCATCATTTTGCAAGGAAGATGTGAAGTATTTAAGGAGAAAGTTGAGAGCCACGAAAATTTTGCAAGTTTACGGAGGTATTTTTGGATTTCGGTTTTATCACTGTAGAAATTCCACAATGTCGGATTATGCTTATGTAATTATGGATTATACGATAAGCGCATTGTTTGCAGTTTAGGTAGGGAATTTATGTATATTTTTGAAAATTAGTGACAAAAATTCCCTGGAAACATAAATACATATTGTGATTAATTGTGAATAAAATGAATATTTTATTAAGTTTCATTGCTAACGACTCATAATAGATAAACTGTTTTCAAGCTACGGCGGGATTTTGTAGCGGGTTATGTAAAAAAATAAGTGACAAATTAGTAATCACGTGTCACTTATCTTTCCTTGGCCCCTTCGAAGAGAAAAACTGCTCAAGAACTTGAAAATTCAGTCCAGTAAGGTCTGTCTGTCTGTCTGTCCGTCCGTCCGTCCGTCTGTCTGTCCGTCTGTCTGTCAGCAGGATTACAGGATTACTGATCGATATAATCGAGATCAGTTTGCGGCATCATACATACATATGACCCCAGGGGGAGGATCCTATCAACTTTTGGGGTAAATCGTACCGCCCCCTCGAGATCATGGTTTATTTAATCCTAATCTAATCTACCACTTTACTTATAAATAATTTTAAAATAATGATAAACATACTGAATACCGATTTTTTAATTTTCAAACTAATATAACCTTTGCAAATAAGTATATATTTACATATAAACACAATTTGCATACCGAACTACATACATACGTACATAATGCATAGACATTTTCACTGATGGTGGTGGATGACAAAACAGCGGAAAACTTGCACCAACTGAAAACTCCTTGTCCAGCTGAAGAAGAGCAAAGTGAAAATAATTTCACATTTGTTTTGAAACATTTCTACTTTTCTACAGAATTACATTAAATTCGGCACCACCCCCTCGAAACATTAGGTTTAGGTTGAACCAAAATGTATGTACAACACTTTTTAACAATTTTTAAATCAAAAGAATTCGTATTTTTTTTATATATTTACGACAAAACAATAATTAAATGGATAAATAATGCCGATTTTTCGAACCCCCCTTGTCACGCGTTACACCCCCTTTTTCACCCGTGGTATTACACGTGACGTACATAATTTACAAATTAAAGTTCCCTGGCTGTTATCTTTTTAAGCTGGTGCTCGATAATTCATTCATAAAAATCTTTATTTTTACAGAATACTCGAAAATAATGGACCCCATTCTCGTAATTTTCATCGTCTACGCCATCTGCTTCGTGGTTTTTGGCGTGTGGAGTTTTGGCGAAATGGCGCATGACAAAAGGGTCGCGGAGAGTGGCGAAATGTACGGTCTGCTCGGAACTTCGCGAACTTCGGAGTGCAAACTTCACACCCTGGAACTGTTCGGAGGATGGTTCGGAAGTCTGATGGCGCAGGTCTGTTTCCGCCACAAGATTAAGAAATGCTCGTACCAGGTCACATTTTGGATTATCGTGGCTCTCCACGTGGTCGGAATGGGGGCCGTGTATCTTGGGAGGGATGAAATCCGGGACTTTTTTAAGAAAGGTGGGGGAAAATAGAGGGTGGTGGGGGATTAATTGGGGTAAAAATGGTAGTAATTAAGTGGGTATTTCGGATTATAAGTAATTAAGTGGGTATTTCGGATTATAAGTAATTAACCGGGTATTTCGGATTATCATTACAGTTTTGATATTTATTTATGTATTATTTACTGAATGATACTTCTATTTTTTTTCAAAAAATGTGGGGGGACAATAAATAAAAGGTGATGGGGGGTAAATTGTGGTAAAAATGTTAGTAATTAAGTTGGTATTTGGGATTTCCTTGATAATTGTGTAACACATAGTTTGTGTGGATTATTTAATGAATGATGTTTGTATATAAATGCTATACAAAAACTAAGGCTGAATTTTTGTGATAATAATTCGATAAAAGAATCTGTGCAAAAATTTTTGTGCTCCTCTTGATAAGCACAAACTTATATATTTGCTTATTTCAAATAAAGTGGCCTTATATTCTAAAGAAATGTTGAATGTGAACTAATTACAAAACAATAAATACTTGTGAAATTCATAAATAGATACAAAATTTGTATAAAAATATGTCCAGCCGGAATTTAGTTTTTGTACTGGTTACAGAATTCATCCTTCATTTCCTGGCTGCATGTTTAACGATGCTGCCCTTGAATATAGAAATAAAAGTGATTTTTTTAATTCGCTGTATTTCCCACGTAAAATACGATTAAGATTTTTTCATAATCGGGGGAAAGGTTAATAGGAAAAATACAAAAAAATAGGAAAAAATTCTATTAATGTTTTCAATATTATGGAAAAAAAGTTTCATTTTTTTTAATCGGGCACCCTTTTTTGGTTTGGTACCTCTCTACTTGAATTTTGTTGCTGCTTGGATTTCTTTATTCATATGCATATCAGTAATAAGGGACTGTCCATAAATTAGGAAGCGCAAAAATTACGATTTTCTTCACCCCCATCGTGCCCACGCGTAGCATAGGCACGATATCATTGGAGTCTTAGACCCACTCTCCCCGCCTCTTGCATTACGTAATTTATGGACGGCCCCTAATTGTTACGTATTGGTTTCTTTGTTCTTCCAGAAATGTTCCCATTTCGTTGAGGAAGTTGACCCATTTTGACCTCACTTCCGGATCACCACCCACTGACGACGGGGGCGATAACAACCAGAGACGAACCGACGCCAGGTAAACGTCCAACTCCTTATGGGATGAATTCTAGACCACAAAAGGAAAAAAAAGACACGCGGAAAAATTATACTTACTTTTGGCAAGGATTTATAACTCATCGCCAAAATTAGCTCATGTTTTTATTATTTCATGCCTCTGGGAATTTATTTTAGAATTCTGGACGACAAATTTGTACTCGGTAAGGCGCTAAGATGATTACTAGAATGGCGTTGAGTTTTCAAAAAAGTTTTAATGAGTTCCAATTTTTCTGAAGGCTTCTTCAACTTGAGATTTCCACGAAAAGGTGTCAAAATCTGGAGTGTATACATGTTTTTTTTAATTGTCAATGGCCTGCACTACAACTTTGTCCAGAATTAAGAAAATAAATTCCCATACGCGAGAAATTATAAAGAATTTGACGATTTTTGAGATAAATCATCGATTTATAAATAAAAAATATAAACAAATTGTCCACCTACATTTTTCGCCTCTAGATTATTCACTTTAGTATCCAAATCTTCTAACAAATTGGATAAAAATGTGGCAAAATGAGCCCCCTCTGGTCCCCTTTGGGTGGCAGGGAGGTTCCTCCATTTCATGGAAAATACGACGTCGAAATTCACTTTTTCATTAGCTGGACCCAATTGGAGAGAAAATCTATCGGCGAAAGTCCACGTGTCAAAAATTGCGGCTGGAATTTAAAAAAATATATTTCCCAAAAAAAGCCATGGTTTTGCATGCATTTTACGAAAGTTCCCTCTCCTATGATAAATTTATGAACGTCCGGATATTCATATATGTATGTACCTGTTCACTTTCATTCATTTGACTGGTTATCATAGTGAATGAAAATGAATCATTTGAATGAAAATGACTGAACGATTCCGTCATTTCAGATGAATGACAAAGAAAGAATGTGAATGAAAGCAAAATTATAAATGAAGGATTTCTCATTCTTTTCATTTTTCACCCTATGCCTAGGAGACATTAGGCGCAGTAAAGAATGAAGTCCGATGAAGTGAAATGAATTTGAAAGGAAATGACTGAATGTGAATGAAAAATTTTTTGAACAGATAAATAAGATACTCTTTAGCTGACCTGGTACGGAAAAACATACCTAGAATTTTAAAATACGTTTTCCTGCGCAGAGAGACACAAATACTTCATCAAGAAATGAATGAATTAAAAAAACTCACCTTGAATCCCTACGTACAAGCAATCGACTAGATAAATCACGCCGAAACCGATTAGCGCTAAGTACACCAAATCGCGAGGAAGTTGTCGTCGCAAAATGTCCTTCTCCAGAGGGGACTCCGTTTTCGAAATCCGCCTTAACCTGATGTATATCGCAGATGCCAGCAACCCGATGAAAAATCCGACGGAGCTGAACCCCTTGACCGGTGAGGCGTCGTAGCGTGACCTCTCGTGACCTTCAGGATAGTCAAGTATCCGTAATTTTGGACCGTTCACTTGCTTCATCCAGGATGGAGTAATAATTTCCTAAATGTTAGCAGAAAGAGGAAATATTTTCACATTTGTGTAATTTCTTTGTCTCGAGTGTAAAAGTTAAATAGGTATTTTTGTGACAAAATTTGGTCTTTAAGGCTCTCTTGTGCATGTGACGGGTTTGAAATTGAATTTTAGGGTTTACCCTTTTTATAAAAAAAATGTATTTCAAGTGGCGACTATGAAATCTGTTCATCTTCGTTGTTTCTTTATGTGAAGATTTTATAGCATCTAAACTATAAGTCAATAATTGTTAGGTTTACAAAGTTAGGCGGGTAGAATTTCGATTTTTTTCTTCAATTGGAAAATAGAATATGTTTAATAGGTATATTAAAAATAATATGTAAAAGTCAAATATTTTCTTGGGAAAAAAATCAAAGTTTTATCCTCCTAACTTTATAAACCTTAAAATTACCGAATTTTCAAAATGATAGATCCACTAAGTTATCGGACCGCCCCATTAAACGCGCGCTGAGCGGGAGCAGATTGAAATTAAATTTCGAAAAAAATATTTTTGAATAGACCAAGTTATAAGCTTTCCATTGATATATATCACTAGTTATTGAGTCATGGCTAAGACTAGAAAATCTTGGGTTGAAAGGCAAGAGTTGAAAAAAAGAGTGATTGTGTTTCGCAAAAATCGAACAAACTATGATTCTAAAATCACTTGGCACTTTTTCAAGCAAGAAGGTATTCCTCATTCAAATGTCAACTCTTACATAGAAAAGTACGAGGAATCCAATGAACTCAAATTCAAAGTCCCCACTAGTCGACCTGCAAAGCCAGCGGCGACAAAAGTCAAAAATCGGATGAAAAAAATCTTCAAAAATCATGCATCAACGACAACGGCTGGCGCGGAAAGGAAGGTCAACATTTAAAAAAGCTATCTAAGCAAAATCAAAGTCCATAAACTAGGGATTGTAGCCAGGGGAAAAAACCAGCACCAAATTACAAACCAACACAAAAGGAAAGGATTCATGCGTGCTGCAAGAAATTGTGAGAGAAAATTTGGGGAAAAGTGGTCATCACGGACGATGAGCCCCACGTCACAGCTGACACTTCAAATCTTCCAGGAAGGCATTTTTTCCATAGTTCCAACCCCTGTGAAGTAAAATATGAAGACAAAGTCCGAAAGAAAGACCAATTCCCAAAAAAATGAAGAATTTGGTAACGCATGTCTAGAATTGGTCATGTTTCCGATCCCATCCTTTTGGAGGGCACTGTAAACCAGGAGGTTTATCTTAAATCTTGAATTAAAGGGGGATTAGAATCGTTTATTACCAAACATCATAAAAAATCAAGTTTGGTTTTGGCATGACCTCCCAAGGTCTCATGACGCCAAAAAGGTCACTCAGAACCAAAATCTGAAAAAAATCGAATTTGTGCCGAAAAATTAAAACCCACCAAATTTTCCTCAACGGCGACCAATTGAGAAATTCTGGGCGCTAACTAACTCCAAATATTCTAAGCTTTCAGAAACGCTAGATACCTTACGAAAATTTAAGAACAGATGGAAGAAAATGAGCTTGAAAGTAGGTGCAGTCGATGGTCGGAATTTGGTGCGAAATCTGAAGAAGAAAGTGCAATCTGTAGCACATAGCGGAATTGAATCATTAAAATTTGAACTGTATGGCAATCCAGACCCTTTGGTAGTAAACATATGCAATTTTTTTGAGATTACATCAACTGTGTGTAAAGTTCTGAGCATTTGATTGCGGCGGTCCGATAACTTAGTGGATCTGTCTTATTTGAATACATGCAGGAAGTGAAAGTTGAGAAAAACAAATTAAATGCAAAAGCCGCATACAAGCGAACTTTGATGGGTTTGGAAATTGATTTAGTTTTACGAGAAATATTTAAATCAATTTTGAATTTACCTTTTCACCTCTTACCTAATCCTGAAGGGGAAAAAGCTGGGACGATTTAGATTTTTAGATGCACACAGTAAATAATCTGGTAATAAACCTTACCGAAAAGCACAAGTATCTATATGATTGTACCAAAGTGGTAATGATAAGTCGTACCGTGTGGTAATGGCTTGGTAAATTACTAATGGTAATAAAGTTTTACCATCATGATTACGAATTTTTACTACGTAATAAAATATTGTAACCAAATCCATTACCGAGAAATCAGTACCTGCGCGACTTTACCGGATTGTTAAGAGTGCAATAAAATTTTTATTTAGAAGCAATGCATTACGATTAATAAACAGGTTTCAATATCGCCATTTGCATACATACATATGTTACATATGATATGTATGTACATACATGGAAGAAGGGAAAGCTGAGACTCAAAAATTAAAAAAAACCCGAACACAAAGGAACCTTAATGCATTCGATTGCATTGGTTTGAAATTCGTGAAAGAGAAAAATGTGTAAAAATTCTGAATTCACCTTTTCATTTAATCCTGGAGTGAAAGGATGGGACGAGTTATCTTTCTCCGAGTAGAGTGGATTTGCGGCCGCACTTATCACGATAATTAATGCGACTAATTTCCAATTCATTTTGAATCTCTGGGAGTATTATTTTTTTGTTATTATCAACAAGTGACGAGTATTTGGATTTAGAGTTGTTAGTGGAGTGAGTGAGGGCAGGCAGCTAGCTGGTTGGATCGATCGATACTGATCTGTTTTGGGATGATTTTTGTACAAATGACAGACGGAATTCTGGGGTAATGCATAAATTATGTTACGCAAATTTCTAGACCCCCCCCTATAACATGTTGCACCTAGGCACGACATCATTGGAACCTTGGACCGTCCATCCCACCTCTCGCATGACATTATTTATGGACGGCCCCTCTCTTTTACAGGAAAAGTTGCTTATTGTTTGTGACGGTAACTTATTTATATATTTAACTAGTGTAGGAGCCCGTCAATCGACGTGCAATATAGGCCCGTCGATAAGCCCGTGACCCCAACATTAGTGAAGTTAGCCTCTCCTGTTCTCTCTGCAGAGTGGAGAGAGAAAAGGAGAGGCTAACTTCTCAACTAAGGAGGGGAGCTTGCGAGGTTGATAATAACAGATCTTGATACCCTTTGGATATGTGATAGGGTCTCATGAGTGTACTAAAACCCTGAAGTGGTTTGACTCCATGGCCACATTTGCGCCCGCCACACCCACTCAAAAATGCCCAAAAAACGCTTCCACACCAGTTTTAACTCACTCAAATCCACGTCAAAAATCCAATTTTACTCGGATTTTGAAATTTCTTTCATCATTACACTCCCAGATAGTTGCTTTCTTCAATCCAATATCAAACCCAATTTTTTCGAAATTTTTAGTATTTTTAAAATTTGAAATTCTGAATGAGGATTGTTGTAGTAATCAACAACTCAAATTACGCCTGCGAAATAATCATCAGCAAAATTGAGTTTGATATGGAATTGAAGAAAGCAACCATCTGGGAGTGTAATGGTGAAAGAAATTTCAAAATCCGAGTAAAATTGAATTTTTCGCGAGGTTTTGAGTGAGTGAAAACTGGAGTGGAAGCGTTTTTTGGGTATTTTTGAGTGGGTGTGGCGGGCGCAAATGTGGCCATGGAGTCAAACCACTTCAGGGTTTTAGTACACTCATGAGACCCTATCACATATCCAAAGGGCATCGAGATCTGTTATTATCAACCTCGCAAGCTCCCCTCCTAAGCCACCGACCCAGCCAGCAGCGATACACTCGCCTGCTTTATATAGTTCACAAGGGACACTAACGACCTGACGTTTGAGTTCAGGGTACCCACCATGCTTCTTAGAATCTACTAGGACCCCAGATGAAGGATTCATTCATATTTCCGTGTAGAACTCATATTTGGCGCCGTGCCGTGGCGCCAAACTTAAAAATTTGCATTTTCGACCAATTTCAAACCCCCATAACTTTTGCAGATTATGTCGGATTTTCAAAATTTTATGCTTAAAATGATCACACAAGTCCAAATTTATGAGAAAAAAATAAAAATAAAAAATTTCGAATTTTTGAAATATTTTTAGCATTTTTCCGACGAACCCTCATTTCTAAGAAAATTACGAAATTTTGCGAAAATTTAAAAGCGAAAATTTTGGAAAAAATTTTATGGGATACGAAAGTTGAACTCCTTGTCATGATTTTTGAAAAAAAATTTTGAAAATCCGCCCAGGATTTCATAAGTTATGGCGGTTTCAAAAATAAAAACATTGAAATTTGGCGAATTTAGCGTCACGGCACGGTGCCAAATATGAGTTTTACACGGAAATATGAATGAATCCTTCATCTGGGGTCCTAGTAGATTCTAAAAAACATGGTGGGTACCCTGGACTCAAACGACAGGTCGTGAGTGTCCCTTGTCAGATAAGTAGCGTCAGCTACTTATTGTGATCACTTTGTCTGTCTGTCTGTCTGTCTGTCGGTCCGTCCGTCCGTCCGTCTGTCCGTTAGCAATATATCTTTAGAATGCCTCAACATAATCAAAAGCGGTTTTCGCCATTGTGCTTCTAATTTTTAGTTCTCGGTCGATTTCGAAATTGGGGTCAATCGGACCACCCCCCACAGCGCCAGGGGGTGTGGTCCAAAATTAAATGCACGTTAATTTTCATATGGGGTATCATTTTAAAGGAAATTTCGCCACGAATTCAACGACGCCAATATTTTTGACCTTTGACCTCGACGCCAAGGTCATTGGGTCAAAAAACACTTAATTTTCATATGGGGTATCATTTTAAAGGAAATTCCACCGCGAATTCGAAGACGTTAATATTTTTGACCTCATGACCTTGAGGACGAGGTCAAAATATTCATACTAGTCATATGGGGTGTTATTTTAAAGGAAATTTTACTACAATTTCAAGGAAGTTAATATTTTTGATTTCATGACCATTAGGACGAGGTCACATACGGAAACGTTAAAGGAAACTTGAATCGGTCAGACGCCACTTATTTACATTCGTTTGGAGGGTTTATTTTAAACTCTATTAATAACCACCCGATTGAATAGAAATTTTGCATCCTGCTTCTTGCCGGGCATACGTCACACGGTCAAAAAATGTGTTGACATTGGTATTTTGTCTACATAAATATTTCGAGGTTTATAAATATGCTTCCCCATGTTTCCACCATTTTGTGAAAAATTTGCATTTTTTGATACAGATATATATTTGTTTTTATATATTTTTCAAAAATTAGATATTTTTTTAGAAAAACCTTAAAAATTAACATATACATAAATCAACAAATATTAAGCTTTTTCCAAATTCTGTTGCATGCATATATTAATTCCCATCATCGTAGAAATATGACACCAGAATATGTATGTTATTCGTTTGTCACTTTGAAATGTAAAAGGCTGGCGTTCTTGCAGTCAAATAAATTTAACTGGAGCAGTTTAAAATGATTTTAACTTTTTTCTAGTATAATATAATTCTTAAATTAGTTTTTATATCTACATATTTCCGCGATTAGGTTAAACATTTTCATAACTATTTCATAAGTTTTTAAGAACATATTTAACCGGACTCTGAAATTAACTATTAATTACTTTTCTAATTAACTACGATATCAGTTACCAGGAAAGTCGAAATAATAATTAGTAATTTACTTTAATTACCAGGTATGTATCTAATTATTACCTTGTGGTAATGTAATTCTTATCAGTTATTAATGCAGGACATAACCCATGCATACATGTACCAAATTGAAAGTATTAATGAACAGATTATTTCTGGCAACAAACAGAAAAATTTATGTATGTGCCCTGATAAATTACATAAGGATGAACGTAATCAGCAGGTCGACACATTTACTCCAAATTTCCAGAGATGCCGAACTATCAAAGAAAGTGCCATCGCCTAGGGTCAACTTGGATGGGGGGCACGACTTAACAAATCGATGCACCCATTTTGGTCCATGGACGCCTCTAAGCGAGTTCAGCAATTCGACAGATGTGATATACGGGTTCGCCATGACCTTTAAGGGTCCCACGATTAGGATGAACAATTCAAAGGCTAGCACGCAAAAGAAAAGTAGAACCGGGAGTGGCACCGAGCTCGCCGAAGTTATGAGGATGTACAACGCAAAACTTTCACACCTGGTGATTCCACCGACTAAAACTGGCATGGCGGGCTGGCGGAAGATGAAATTGTGCATGGCGGACAACAGTTGTAATAGTCGGTATTTCATCAAATTAGAATGAGTTGGTTGCCCTCCTTCTAGGACTTTCCTAAAAAAGTGTTTTAGTTCATTAATAAATTATGTTAAGCAAAAATTTGCAATTTTCTGCACGTCCTTCTGTCTCCTTTACCATTTTCCAAATAGGCACATTAGACCCATTCGCCCCACTTACATTACATAATTAATGAACGAGCCCATTCCTACGCTCACAAAGGAGATCTCCCAGCGAATGCTCTCAGATTTTGATCTAACTCGTGCCAACAGATCACAGACTTCATTTAGACGAAATCTGCAGCAGATAAGATCGCTCAACGGTCAAGTTTGGTGGAGAAATTTACCTCCAAGGACATTGTGTGTTTTGAAATTTTCATATTAATCAAATTTGTGATCCACTGGCACTAATTTATTAAACACCGGCTGAAAGGCCTCCGTGATCAGATTAAGAAATAAATATATATACGTATTACTATTCTTGATTTCTAACCTTTTAATTCCTTCGAGGATTATTAGCTTCACTTCAATCGGATATAGTAGAACGATTATAATGCTGATGATAATAAAAGACGTCACCATCGTCCAGTAATAATACGTCGTAATTGCTAGTCCAACCCGGAAGCTGACCCCAGTTTGACCATTGTCCACCCAAGAGCGACATTCGAGATATACCATACTTGTCAAGATGGGTGGCATGCATGGCATGGTAAGCGCCAGAACTGACATCGCTGCCGGGAGAAAGATCAACGCTGCCATGCTCATGACAATCATTGAAATGAAATATGTGTGGACGATAAATATATCTGCAAAGTAAAAATAGTTAAATATCTTAATACAAAGATGGAATAAGGGAATAATTTGCTGGTTCACATTCATTACTGAGAACACGGTGATTAACCCCACTTCTCCTAAATTAGTTCGGGGAGTCATGACCCGAGGAGACGCGACTTGGATTCTTGTTGCGCTGAAAGCTATGTACACAGTGTAAGAAACCCTACTGCCGGAGTATCACCGATCGGTGACGATACATGTTAGTCTATGTATTGGATGACAAAATGACCATATGATAAGTTCGCACTATGGTCACCGCATGGAAATAAGCTATCACTTACTCCGTGCCACGCAATCACAATGATGCGCACCACCATCAACAAAGCGTAAACCACTATCGCCAGAGCCTAGGAGCTCCTACCACTGAAATTTTGTGGGAATGTGGGTACCTTTAGATCTGTAATCCCGTTCGATATGGAGGGACGAGTTGAGCAGTAATACGATTTCCTTTTGGAGCACTGTAGAATGTATTAAACCAATTAAGGTGCCGGTAAAAAGTGTTAAACAGTACGACATCAGAATCAGTTTCCAAGTTTGCAAGGGAGGATAGATCGGGTGCATCCACTCGTTTACAAATCACTTCACTGTAACGAGAAAATGCAGAAGGATTAATACCAGTGCCACGAAGCGATGCGGAAGAGTTTTTGAACCCGGGAGGAAAAACTGTTCGTTTCTTAATGCCATTGCGCCTTGTTTGAGCGTCAGGGTGGCTACGGACAAATTTAGTAGCAGTGGAATATTTGAAGAGGGTGAAGATAAATTGCGTAGCCAAGCAAATAATGCTCGTCCTTTGGTCGGCATTTTTGTAGAGTTCCTCATATGATATGCCCCAGCTACTTTAATATTTATTACAATATACCCAAATTTTAGTATTAGTCATAAAATACAGTGTTTAACTACTTACTACTTACGTTTAACTGCATACTAAAAATAACGTTACCATTCAGAAAAATAAATTTACTCCCGATTTTTATTATATTAAATATGTGAACTAAAGCCAGCCCGCCTTGTTTGGTAGGCAGGGAGGCCACGCCCAAATTTAATATCTCGGATATTACGTATGTCAATGGAATATTTGATGATGGTGAAGATAAATCTTTTTGCCTACCAAATACTTGTCGTGTCTTGGTAGACATGTCCAGTTTTCAGAGAAGACTGTCCCGTAGGGACAGTCGGTTATGCTTAATCTGATAGAGGGCACTTTAAAATTTATTACAAAACCCAGTTTTTAGTATCAATCTTGGCTTTTAGCTGGACAATTTATTTTCGATTAGTTTTACCAATCGCAACTTAAGCTTGTGTAACCAAATAAATTTGATTGGGGTAGTTAAATTTTAAAGAGGGACAGAGGGAACATTCATATATTACGTCATCAAAAAACTCTTTTATTTAGACCATATAAACATCTCCTATCAACCCGACTCGTGCTAAGCTGAGCAGGTAAGCTAAGATCTACCAAAATCAGTCTAAACCCCCCACCTTCTTGATACGTAACCTATGGATGTTCCAAATGTGTACATAACAATCTAAATAAATACAGTGGATAAGCTTGCCTGACTAAAAATTTGAACGAGTTTTCAGAATCCAACATTCTTGTGGCTATTCTTGATTACTGCAGAATTCAATGCAACGATTTCTGCCCGGGGGTACATTCATCGATAATGAATTCTCAAGGAGGCAAGAAAAGAAAAAAAAAACTATGGGGTTCCATACACGTCAATATTTCAGTTACAAAACCCTCAAGTTTTCTGTGTATTTTATGAAAGGGAGAAAAGCCGATTCGTTAATTACGAAAATTTCATATAAATTTAAATTGCTAAGAAATGAAGGCCGCATATACATATATTGTCCAACGATAAGACAATTTTATGTCTTTTAAGACGTACATACCTAAAATCAATAAACTTTAACAAGCAAAAATATTTTTGCATGAATACGATCCGACACTCTAAAAACTAATGTTAACCTTTTAAAAACTAACTGCCCCACCCACCATAAACCACACAAAATCCAGAGTAAGGTTAACTTGACAAGGAATAAAGTTTGCTCTGGATTTAGTAGATATCCATAAATTATGTCACGCAAAAATTACCACTTTCGAGACCCCTATCATAGTCACGATCCTTGGACCCTTAGACCCCTCTCCCCCTTCTCGAGTGACATTATTTATGGACGGTCCCTTAGTATAGTTTACTTACATAATTTATAATTCGGAGTCCCTTTACTTTTAAAAAAGTAACATTATTTTTAAGGGTGTATCAGTATTTTGTTTGTCTTTTGATTTATAGCTCGAGCTTGAATAAGTAATATATATTAATTGGTCTCAAAGCAATAGAAAAAATAGGTCATAGGCGTCATAAACTATCCGATTGGAATTTTATGGCAATCCATAAAAATTTTGGCGACTTGTGCATTTACGTTGCTTGGGAGACGTTCTAAAATTGCGTAACGCTTCAAGGGGAGGGAAAAAGGGTTTGAAAATTTTGTTAGGAACCGTTACTTATGCAGAGGGGGGTGTGATGGAAGTCTTTGTAACTTTAGATTTCTTGGTCGCTCCAAAATGCAATTTTCATAAATATCGTGTTTTTTACATGATTGTTTTCTTCATTTTCATCATACTTTATTTATCCTGCTCTAACAATGCGATGATGTAAAGTGCAACCCTCGGATTTGGTTGAAATTTCGAAATTATGTGGTCCATGTCAATACAACCAACGTTTCTTGAGGCAGTTTGTGCGATGGTCAGAATTTGCCAAAATATTTGAGGTCAAGGTTGAAAAATGTGCAACTTTTAGCACGGGAAGAGAATGGAAGTTGAGCTTGCTCCATCCGCCTGGTAAAAATCACCCGTTTTTCAACTTTGCCCTCAAATATTTTGACTAATTCAGACCATCGTACAAGCCGTCTGAAGAAACGTTGGTTGTATTGACTTGGACCACATAATTTCCAAATTTCAACCAATTCTGAAGGTTACACTTCACACCATCGCATTGTAAGATTTATTTCGGTATTTAATATGGAAATAAGACTGAATATGTACATATTTTATTTTCTTGAAATCTTAAATTTACATTACGTTACGAGCAGGGTGCTTGAATGTGAGGGTCAAAAACTTGCATTTTAAAGTTTCGTAATTGTCAAAACGTCCCTTTTATTTGTCCCATTTGTAATAACGCACGCATACATATTTCATGAAACTTTTGATCCATTCAAAAGAAAACTTGAATGACAAATTTAATCCCCTAAATCAGTTTAATGAATGAATGTGAACAGGTAGGTTTCTGACAATTTAATTTTGAAGCAATAATAAATAAGCCGAACACAGTTTTTTTTATTTCACGAGTAATATAAAAGTTAGTAAATATTTGCATACGTATATAATTTTCATAGGCATTCTCAATGTCAATGGTGGGTGGTGGGTAATAAGACAAAGACGAAGGTGGAAAAACTCGCACCAACTCAAAACTTCCAGCTGACAGAAAAACAACATTTGCGACAAGCTTAAACGATTTTATGTTCCGAAAATGTTTCCAGTTCTCAAAATAAGAACTAATTAAGTAAAATTCACCACTACATTAAATTTAATCATAATAACACCTACGCTGGTCTGGATTGACTGAGCGAAAAGGTATGTATATTTATTTAACAATTTCTCCACTAATGTTGAGTGTTGTAAATTTTCAAATTTTTACATAATTGAATAGGTTAATTTTTTAGTTTTTATACCTTGTTATGTTTAAAACTGAACAATAATTAGTGCTGAAGGTATTTATTATTTCTTCGCTAAACTTCAAGGTTGTTTAAATGTCATGTTATGTGTTACAATGGAAAATTTTTCAATGCGAAAAATTCGCAAATTTCCATTAGTTACATACCAATTAGAAATTTTAGAAATTTTAGAAATTTTTGCCTAGTGTGAACTAAGCGTATCTCCAGCAGGAGTACGCATCATCTCTCCTGATGGAAAGACATTAGTTACACTAGTGAACCGAAATTTTGCCTCTGAAATTCAATATGCAAGGGCAAGTTTAAGAATTTTGTCATCACTATTCCATAAGTTTTGAGAAAAATTAATAAACATCTCAATCCCAAATTCGAACCTAATGGAAATTTACGAATTTTTCCCATTGAAAAATTTTCCATTGTAACCTTACATTTAAATCACCCTGTATTTAACGAAATCAATACACACTGTAAAAGTAATGCTACCACTTTGTAAAGTAAATAAATTCATTCGAAATTAAGGTAACTTTACAAACCCAGATTAGGGTTCGATTCTAGCCTTCTGGACCAATCTTTTTTCGAATTTTTTTGCACCTTTCAGAACATTCTAAGACTTTTTTTTTCACTGAAAAAAAACTTAGAAAAACAAGATTAGGCTTTACTTTTTAAACAGTACATATTTTTAAGAGGGTACATTTACATATTTTAATTAATTGTTGCAGCTACTTGATGGATACAATGGTGCCGCGGTTTCGTGGGTCGAAATGGTGGAGGTGTTCCATTCCCACCTGCTCTGCGCATACGTGGAACAGAACCTCCAACATTGCAGGCCATTTGTAAATTTTTGACATTTATTTACATCAACTGTTAAAAATTATGTTATCCTTCCTTTAGGGTCGTTCATATTTAGCTTACGTTTATTTAGATTTCCGAACCGTGCAGGATTTGAACACGTGCGAGCCGCGTGGGTCCAAGTGGTGCGAGACGTCATGAATAATCAAACCTGGGAACCTGCTCGAAAAGACAAACTTTGTTCGAGACACTTCCTCCCATCGGATTATCAAGGAGAAGTCGCCAAGTGGACGTCCAAGATTTCTGCCCGCCATTTAAAATGGACTTCAATCCCTACCGTTAATCTATATCCGGAGGTTGGAGGCATCGTCGCTAATGGACAAGCTTTTAATGGTATGGAAAAAATAAATTGTTAAATTAACCTAGGATTAAATGACGCACGGCCAAAGTTTATAATGATTTCTCGACTATTTTAAAATTCTGGACTACAAATTTGAGGAACAATTCGTTCTCATTGTTTTTTTTAAATATGCACTCCAGATTTTGTCACTCTTTCAACGAGGGAATGCTTTGATAGTCTAGGAAGAAAAGTCGAAAGTCTTCGAAACTGGCTTAAAAAACATACCGCCATTGTATATATTTACTGACACTGCGATGACGCTAGGGGTCTCGCTCCGATTTTAATGAAACATCGATAATTACGTACTCTTAGGTAAATAATTGAAAACATGTTTCGGAATTTTTCATAATGCTCAGTTTAAAAAAAGTTTTGATGGTATAAGTGGCCAAAATTCGCATTTTTCTCGTAAAGTTTTTCTTTATTTGTTTTTGATCGTGAAAACTGCGAATTTTCGGCCACTTATACTATCAAATCTTTTTTTTAAACTGAGCATTATGAAAAATCCCGAAACACGTGTTCAATGATTTACCTAAGGCTACATAATTATCGTGGTGTGGTTTCATTAAAATCGGAGCGAGACCGCTGGCGTCATCGCATTGTGAGTGAGTATGAATTTGTTGTCCAAAATTTAAAATTTTAGAATACTATAGTTCTCAGAATTAATTAAAATTTGTCCATTTTAGCCATTAATTCATTCGTTAATGTGGTGTGTGCAAATTAACTCGAAAAGTTGGAAATTTTCAGTATACTAATGAGTAAGAATTATTCAATTCAGCAATGAGATTCACCACTGATTTTAGAATTTGGAATCCAGTATTTTAAGATGTTACTATGGCCAGTGTGTGTTGATTACACGGAAATTTTTTGGCGGGAGAATTACCCCGGAGGGCCTTATGGATTTATAACATGGTGTACATAGTGCACATTGGGCACAGATTTCTCTGCAACGGGTGGATGGATCCGCACAAAATTTTTTGGTGGTAATCTATATCTAAGTACCTCCAACCCTTTTGGGTGTTTTTCAGAAATTTGAATTTTGAAATTTGTAAAAAAAATATTTCGGAAATTCGAAAAAACCAGAAATTTTTTATTTCCATTTACAAATTTCATTTGTTTCTACATTGAACAACTATGACAAAATATGATTTCAAAATGTTTAACAAAATGATTAGGCAATTTAAACATTTAAATATATAATTAAATTATTTTTTGTTCACTTCAACTTTATGTTTCATTTCATGGTATTTCGTGTTAGACAAACATTACCAGTTTGTAACCATAGAGGCCATTTTTAATGGAGCAGTATTAAATAGTCCAGTTTTATCATATTTTATCAAATTTGATCACCATTATTCAATGTAACCACAAATGGAATTTGTAGATCGAAACAAAAAAATTCTAGTTTTTTTAGAATATTCGTAATATTCTTTTACAAATTTCAAAATTCGAATTTCTGAAAAAAACCAAAAAGGGGTGGAGGTACTTAGATATAGATTACCACCAACAAATTTTGTTCGGATCCATCCACCCGTTCCAGAGAAATCTGTGTCCCAATGTGCACTATGTACACCATGTTATAAATCTATAAGGCCCCCCGGGGTAATTCCCCCGCCAAAAAAAATCGTGCAATCAACACACACTGACCATAGTAACATCTTAAAATACTGGACTCTAAATTCTAAAATCAGTGGTGGATCTCGTTGTTGAGTTGAATAATTCTTACTCTAATACAAAAAAAACGTTAACATTATGTTATCCATTCGAAAAGTGACTCTACTCAAATCTTTAAATTAAGTAAACTACATAATATACCAAATCCAGAGTAAACTTTGCTCTTAACCGTGTTTACTCTGGATTTAGTATAGTTTACTTGGTATAGAATTCAGGCTGCATTTAAATACTTTTCAAAAGGGTAACACTATTTTTAAGAGGGTCCTTTATCCACAGACAATCAAGCAGGATTGATACATTCTGGACCCTCGAATTCCTTCATTGAGATCAAAATAGAGCCAGATTTCGAATTTGAGGTTCCCGTTCCAGACCGTGATCCACTCCTGCCGCTGCCACCACCTCCGCCCGGTAACAGAATTGATCGGAATTAATTACATATGTAACATAATTTTAAAAATCCAATTGTCTCGAAATTTGAATTTCAAAATTTTTTTCCAGATTTTGAAATTCATTAAAATTATAAACTCTTTCAAATTTTTATTTTTTCGAAAAATAGTGCATGTGCATTTTTCATAAGTCAAGTAAGTCATTCTGAAGAGACATGTTTTCGAATTTTTGGATTCGCGCTAAAATTCGAAAATTTACAGAATTTTTAAAAACCGTGGTTTTGGCTGGAAAACAGTTTAAAATTCGCGCCTCGCGCTCAAATTAGCGCATTATGAAAAATGAAAAAATACGGGTATGCTTATTTTTTGTGGTGAACAAAATAAAATTGGTCCCATGCAGATCTGAGTTGTACACCTAAAAGACTTGCATTGTGAGTGTATATACAATTTAATTTACAGAAATACCTACTTTCACACCACGTTCGTGTCCCATGTGCCGTTCGTATTTCAAAAGTCAAACTAACTACGAAAATCACATGAGACTCCACTGGACGGACGAATTAGGGCATAAATGCGGAAAGTGTGGCGTCTCGTTGCCCCAACAGAGTGACCTTGACGCACACGTGGCATCTGGCAGGTGAGAAAGCAGGCTAATAAAAGTTTTAAGTAAAATATGCATGCGAAGAAAATGCACTAATTTGTTGTAGTTATGATTCATAACTTATGAATCGGTGAGGAGGAATTCCAGTGGGCTGTTCATAAATATTGCGCTATATTAGTCCAAATTTTCGGGGAGAAAATTATCAAATGATTAAAATGATCAAACATTTGGTTGCGATAGGAAAAATCTCCTAAAATTTCGACCAATTTTACGCCGGGGGGAGAAGGTGGCCTTCCAGAAACAAATTATTCTCTTCCATGACCACATTTTTTCAGACCAACCTTACACTTCCTCTCGAATTAAACCATTTCCCATAAAATAAGATACTTTCTTCTTTACGAATCAAAGGGTTGGTTGTAAGCTATATAATTTGTATTTGTAATTCATACAGATGTAAACAGAAGGAGCAACCTGAGGGTGATATGGAAGAATGTGACAAATGTGGCGAATCTTTTCACAAAGTTCGTAAGCTCAAAGCTCATAAGGCTAACAGGATAGAGTAAGTTATCAAAATATGTATGTGTGTCACATGATCTTAAAGTAATAGTTGCATCAACAGACGTGGGATATGAATGATGGAAAAACCTCAAAGTTTGAATGCAAAATTACCGTAAAAATCTCCAAAATATGAGCATAAAAATGGCTTTATTTTTTACTTTTGGCTAGTGCGATACTCTATTTTTATAAATAAAAAACAAGCTCTAGGGTGATCATACAATCTATTAGAGTGTATTTACACACGTTTCAAAAACAGGTGACATAACATTTAAATCCTAATATTTTTTTCTAGATGTTTCGTCCTCCCGGGCCAATTTGGGGACACGTTTAGGTGTCCCGTGTCCATGTGTTGGATGCCATTTCCGACCAGTTTAAGGTTGAGGAGACACCTGGTCAAGGATCACGCCACGTGGAAGGGCGCGTGTTTAATTTGTGGGGTCAAATCGGACTGCTCAATTTACGACCATCTCGTCCAAGAACACGGATCCCCTGGTGGGGCTGGGGATGAAGATGACGTTGTCCGCGTGAAAAATGAAGTGATTCTGGAAGATGTCGTAATTAAGACGGAGACGGATTGAAATTTCACTTTTTACAATTTTATTGAATATTTATGTAAACAATTGTCGAATTTAAGCTTAACAAAATCTTGGTATTTTTGTATTCAGAAAATTATTTACGCAGTTTGTGCCAAGATGAATAGACAAGTTTAAATTTGTACTTTACCTATTATAAAATGTAGACCAGTAAACACGTTATGTTTTACGTTTTAATTCAATGGCGCAACAAACTATATACAGTATGTAACTTATTTAATGCTACGATTTTTAATTTCAAATTCAACTTCAATTTTCCCAAGAACAGGTAGATATTTCAAAACTGTTTTCATACCAATTATTCACCATATATTGGACTACATTGAGGCAAATTTTCAGAGGAATGGAGATAGAACGGTTGAATCCACAAATATTTTAATGCCAAAATATTGCGAATTGCACGTTACATAATTAATGCTACGATACACAACCGGTGCAAATTTGCCGTTTTTCCTAAATACGGAGCAGAATTTCGAATGGATAAACAATTCTGTAGTATTTCTACTACAAATGAAAATAATCTGCCGAATTATAATAAATAAATAACAAAGGACACCGTTCTCAGTATCAAAATATTGGAAAAGTGACCTGTCTCCATTAATAACGTCTAAATTTAAGGAAACTTTGGAAACAATTTAAAATACACACCGAATCTGTTCCAAGACTCGCGGAGGAAAGGAAAACCACAGAAGCTGTAGCGAATTGTCATCGTCAGGGTCGAAAACCCAGTAAAACACCACACGCGGACGCGACGATTGTGACAATAATGCTTGTCTGTCCGCGCCAGAAATTGCGAAAGATGTTCAAAGTGACCGTTTTACTGCTCTACACCTATGAATGATTAGACGCAGGCTGATATTCGCAGGAATATCCGGGGAAATTCCAAATTCTTCAACATGCATCTTATGGAGCAACCACAAGAAACACTTGGGGTGGGCAATGCAAAGCGAAGATGATCCCATGTCTACCGGAAAATATTTCTGTTCCCAGATTAGACCATAATTCAACTTTTTAGCTCAGATGGAACGGTAAGAGTGTGTGAGGAGCCCAAAGAAGTTTCAAGGAATTAATTTCTGAGACAAATTATCGAACATAGCAGAGATAAGGAAATCTAAGCTGTGTGAACCGCTAAACCCTGGTATGAAACTTTCGAAATCTTGCAGGGAGGTCAGGTTTTGGGACAGCATATGTTGCCACAGGGTAGTAGCACTGACGTGCGTCGATGGGATCATGACCAAAGAGGTTTACCTTGCTTTGTTAGAAATAAGTCTTGGCCAATTCACAACAAAGAAAGACTTTGGTCAGAAATTTATTTTCAACAATTGCCGGATATTAGACAAATATTACAAAAATCATCTTAAATGCCTCAAGGATAATAATACAAAGGTTTTGGACTGGACACTAAAATTTTTTTACCTCAACTCGATCGAGCATAACCCAAAAACTCTGCGGCGTCTGGTGACAACACCAAAACCGATAAGCACGGCTCCCCGACACACCGTGATAACAGAAAATAAATAAACATCGACCATAGCATAACCGAAAGGTTGGTGGATTAGATGCCCAAACGATTTCAATCAGTTATTGGGGTCTAACGAAATATTCAGCCGCTCCTACCCCCGTAGCATTAATTATGTAACGTGCAATTTGCAATATTTTGACATTAAAATATTTGTGGATTCAACAGTTTTATATCCATTCCTCTGAAAATTTGCCTCAATATAGTCCAATATATGGTGAATAATTGGTATGAAAACAATTTTTAAATATCTACCTGTTCTTGGGAAAATTGAAGTTGAATTTGAAATTGAAAATCGTAGCATTAAATAAGTTACATACTGTATATATATATTTTTTGGGGGGGGGGTAGCTCATTGCAGAGCTATTTTTTATCGATTTAATTCATATTTTCTTGATAAAAAATCATATTTACTTATAATTTCCTACCTTTGCAAGCCTCAAAATTGTCGACCTTTACTGGAATTTAACCCTCCCTCACTTTTTGCACACTCATATAATACATCCAAAGGACATCAAAATCTGGGTCTGACAACCTCTGACACCCTACGACTTAAAGTGTAACACTATTTTTAAAGTCTGCGTAACTTTTGTTGTTCGCTTCTTCACAAATTTCGCGGTTTTACATGATTGTTTTTTTTTAATTTTTAGCCTACTTTATATATTTTGCTACGAGATTTATTCCCGTGTTTATATGAAAATGAGACTGATGTGTAATTCTATTTTCTTAAAATTTTAAATTTGTATTACGCTACGAACAGGGTGCTTGAATGTGAGGGTCAAAAACTTGCATTTTATCGTTTCGTAATTGTAAAAACGTCCCTTTTATTAGTCCGATTTGTAATTACGCATACATATTTCATGAAACTTTTGCTGCATTCAAAAAAAAATTTATGATTTCCTTCAATAACATAATATCTATATTTAACCTTCAGCTCATTTCTGAATAAGAAAAGTCTTTCAAATTATATTGCCAGAATTTCTGACAAAATACTTTTATAGAAATGATAAATATGCTGAACACAGTGGCCGCGGAAGATGATTTTGACCGGGGACATACTTCTCGAAAAGAAACGTCAAAAAAACAGGATCTTGATTTCGTAATATACTGAGATTAGCTGCTCTCATTTTCCTGATTTGCGTTAAATTTCTTGCAAAAAGCCTTTATCGATCATTCAAGAGCTCAATAGTGAATTTTTGGGTGCGTTCATTTTGATCCGCATCTATTTTGCATAAGAAATTAACACAGAATTTAGTTTGCACATAAAAGTTTTGTTGAAAATCTACACTGGCAGGGTTGTATGATTATAAAAATGTTTCTCCTGATGTCTTTGAGGGATCAGCGTCCACGTGAGCATCGTCATCATTCATTATAATTTTTAAAGACAATTGTCGACACGTTTTTTGCAAATTTTTTGAACTCTGTTTTTTAGTCCAAAACATTTGTTTGCGAGACTTTGATTAATTTTGCCGTAATTCTCGGTTTATGGACTTTAATGTTGCGCAACAAACTTTTTGAAATTTACAGTACCAGACTTGTGATACGAATTGACGTGGAGGAGTTAGTGCTGAAAAGTTTTATAATGTTTTTCAAGATTTGGGGGTCCCTATAACTAGAGTTGAGCTTGAATATTTTTTTGAATTTCACTTTTTGTCATCGTAACACTTGTAAATGTACATGTAGATTCCCGTTTTTTGACATTCTACCGTTTTGAAGGATTGCCACGCCTTGTTCGAGTCCCGTCAAACAGCGTTCTCCTGGTTGAGAAAAACTCGATTGGCGAAGCTTTTACCTCACCCCAATTACAATTGAATTTAACGATTTTAACAAAAAAATGCTTTATACCTGCTGGTTGCCCTTGAAATTGTGTCACAGAAAACTAATATACATATGTAGCTGAACAACAATCTCAGCGAATTGCGTAGCATAATTTGAAATCGGCCTTTCCAACTTAACTCCGGAATGCTTAGCTCTTTATATTCGACATTTCTCTTAAAATTAGCCAATTCATTCGACTTTTCACAAATATTTACACAAAAACAAACCTTTTTGTCCAGTTAACTACTTAATGTGTTGTTACTATAGCCCTAAAATGTTTTAAACCGTTTTCCTTTTTGCAGGGAAATAATACAAACATTGTTAAAAAATGAATTTAGAAACAGAACATTTATAAAAAAATTCTTAATCTTGAAACTAATCCAGATTTGTCAATCCGTAATCCCCAATCCAAACCATTTTGGTAATAACCTTGTCCTAAACTACTTCAATCCCCGAATCCATGTTTAATTCTAATCCCCAATCTAATCCAAAAATTTTAGTCTCCAATCCCCAATCCGTAATCCGAGCAAAAAATAAAATAATCTACCAACTCTGCAAATAAGTCTTGAGCCTTTTTAATAGAGGAACATTTTTCTCTCAGGTTGCAGATGGAGCTTGAGCAACCAAAAATTTTGATCCAAAATTAACTTCAGGTTAACAATTCAATAAGTTCAGCAAGAAGCATTCTTGTTTCGGCCAGAAGTTATTTAAACTTGGCCAGAAATTTGGTTTTGTTTCTTGAGTGAGAAATTGATTTGCGAAGCATTGACAACTGGCAAATTAAATGTCACGTTCAGTTCATATTTTTCACAAATATTATCGATCACGTCTTTGTGGCCTTCAGTTTTCAAAGGTACATGTCCGTTCAAATGCTTCATAGCGCTGAGTTCCAGCTATCTGGATCTATTTATTTCCCCAATCAAAAAATTATTTTGGTTTTTTAATGAAAAATTCGTCGACAGATACGCCCACCCGCTTTAACCCCACGATGAACGACGTAAAAGACTATGTCACATTACCAAGCTATTCGTTAATGTAAAAAATTTTCAGTTAAAAGTACACGGTATTCTTTGGTTTCACAACTATTTTGAGTGCTGAAACATAATTGCTGATTTGGGCATTGGTGGACAATGCCAGACGCGATTTCAAATTTTGAGGAAGTCTTCGAATGCCTAATCCCAAACCGTTAGTACTTTGTTTAATTTGGCAAAATCCTTATAAACTTCTGATGTGAGAAATAATTTTTTCGTGATCGACCAAAGGCGACATTTTCCTTCTTGATCTTGCGCTGTTTTTTGTCATGTAACAAATTATTAGACTATTTTATGTTTTCGATCGAATTAAGGGCTAAGAGTTGCTAAATCACCCAAAAAACAAATCGTTGGAAATGTTAATCCGGAACAAAGATCATGTATATTATATGTGTACGTATATTTGCATATTGTATATGCCAATTTGGTATTATATTGCATATACATAGCAGCGGCGTAGCCAAGGGGGGGCTAGGGGGGCTTGAGCCCCCCCAGAGCCCGAGAAAATAAAAAAATACTTGCAAAAAATTGCAAAAAAATAAAAAAAAATTAAAAAATTAAAAGTAAGTTACGCATAAAGTTATATGTTACACATTTTCGTTATTACTTCGTACCCTTAGTATCTTTGTATCGAAAAATAAATTACGACAGCTAAGAGATTCTAAAAGAGTCGTAAAACTGTACTAAAAAAATCACGTTAATAACAATACGTTTATAAGTAAGCACCAAATGGTTTTCTACGATTTGAATCGGACGAATTTTAAATTGTTGACGCACAAAAATGAAAATATATACAGTTTTGCATTTTCATAGATGCAAGTATTTA